AGGTTTTAATTGTCAATCTGACACTTTAAAGAATTCTAATGTCGGCGATTTTGTAACTTTCAAGTCTCATAACTTGGAAAGTTCTTATTGAAAAATAACTTTATAATAGTGTTTTAAAAAGTTCTTGATGTCAGCTACAAGAATATGTAATAAAAAATAGTTCTCGTTAAAAAATTTTAAGATGGTCTTTATGTGATTTTTACGCTATTCAAGATCATACTCACGTTACTATGAAATCCATCACTTAGAATCGTATAATTTTGTTTAAAACTTTTTTCAAAAAATGTATTTTTCAAGATCTGAATATTAATAAGCAAACATAACAACATTTTTCAAGAAATTAGCCTGATACGGTCGCTCTGTTACACTATATATGCACAGGATGATTTAGAATAATCCATGTGTCCCTGACGAGACGTATTTCTGAACGAATTCTAAGATGATTTTTCCTTTATGAAAATTTTATCTGAAGCTTAGTTTTCAACTTACAAGAAGAAATAATTAGCGTATCACGAGTCGCTATAAGAGACGGGCAGGAGCGGCGCTCGCGATTAGACGCGGGCGCTTTATGCACGGGGCGCTTTTTGACCGGATGCATTCACACATTTATAAAAACACGCTCTTTCTTCTATTCCCTGCTTCTACCTTTTCCCCACACTATCTCTTTGGCTTTCACATACTGGCATACTTTAAATATGCTAATTTCATTAAATTATAAATTAGAACGATGAAATTAAAATGGATATTTTTTAACCCTTTGAGTATTGGATTGCATTTTAATTACATTGATAAAATTGTTAGGAAATATCGTAAAAGAACGAACTTAGATAATAATTATGTACGATAAATATTATAAAACTATTGACATACAAATCATATAATTATTGCAGTTTTTAAAGTATGAAGTTGGTACTTCATAGTCGGAAATCTTTCCTTGGGGTCGATTCTGTATCTTCAAACAAGGTGAAAATTACAAAAGTAAGCAAACTTACTAGAATACTGATAATTTCATTGGTCAACATCTAATAAATTAGCTCACTTTTATAATTTTCACCTTGTTTGAAGATACAGAATCAATCCCCTTGTGCAAAATATTATTTAAGATGATTTTAAAATAAGAACTTGATTACCGTCCCATGTTTCGCGTTTCATAGTTGGTAGCCCTTCCGCACTATTGACGACAAGGAGCAAAAGTAGGCGTGGTTTAGCCGAATTGCACACATACCACGTAATCCTTCCACCATGCTTCTGACTTTAAATAATACATTACTGTCTTCCCTCTCTCGAAACATAATTCGATCAATAGAACAATAGTAGAAAGAGAGTTCTGCGCCCAAACATTTATTCATAGACATAGTATCTCTAGACAGAGTCACAGTATAAGTACGTACAGTATTCTGATAGACACTGAACTTTTTATATGGTTCCCAATTTTTCGTGCGCATGCGTCGATTTCCAACCAGGAATGTGGCTGCCTTCAGCAAGTTGAAATTACAGGTTAGGTTAAGTTAGCTGGATCTTCTTCCCATAAAATATAATTAACCCTACAATGTTGTGTGAGACTTGTGATAAGGAAACTATGCCAAACATGATTACGGGTGAAAGCCGTGGTATATCGTTCGTACAAAGCTTAATTTTTTTTTAATTTAAAAGAATTTTTTTTTTTTTTTAAGAAAAGTATAGCAAAGAGTTAATAAAATTAAGTTTTACTAAAAAATTAAATCAAATTTTTTCGGAAACGCTATATTATGTAGACTGTTATATTTATATACGATAAAGTATTCTCGTAATAATGTGTGTGTGTGTGTGTGTGTGTGTGTGTGTGTGTGTGTGTGTACATATAATTAAATTCAACAACTTCACATTTAATTACAATTTTCGTATAGTATTTAATCAATTATTATTTTTATCTTGTTTATGTTATAATGTTATGTTGTAATGTTATTATTATTAGTAATGTGAATATTATCTTTATATAATGAGTTCGTTAACATTATATTATTATATAATTCTTAAATTAAATATACTCGCTATAAACAATTTTTACGATCGAATTATGTTTTTTTTTTTTAGAAAAATCATTCTGTAGCTTTATTAAAACTCAAACAAATTTATAAGCGCTTTTCCAACCCACAATATGGCGGTAAGTCATGTGACCCACTACATCAAAGGTGCCGACGCTTAGTGTCCATACTGTATGTATTTACATTGTAACCGAGCATTGTCAGAAATTTAGGAATAGCCCTCATTTAGAAAAGGACACACTCATGATTGGCCCAGGTGCGTTTTCTCTTGTGCATGCGCGAAACGAGAAAGACCTGGGTCAATGTAAGTGTAAAGCAATTGCACACGAGCCATTTGCGTACAAGCTAATCATAGCGCTAAAAAAAAATAAAAAAACTCCCTACACAGAAGTCGCCGTGATTGGCAGTGAGCAATTGCTACAGTGTGCAAGTGAACCACTTCCTCTGATATAATTTCATTTTTCATATATTGAATGCTCGGTCTAGAGGGGATCACTTGCACACTGATTTACTTGCACACTGTAGCAATTGCCCTCGGGCATCGATGGTTACATGCCTTATGCGTTCGACTCGTGACCTTACCGTTCTGAGTTCGAGCTTTGCCGGCGCCCCACAGTAAAGTCGACTTGTTCCGATAAGGCAAAAGGCTATCTGATTATTTGATTGTCTCAAGATTATGGACAAGCCAATATACTAGCAGGGAGGAGACTGATCAGGTTGAAAGCTTGGCTCGGGGCTAGGCCCGGAATCGGATTGCTAAGCAATTCCTATAAACCATCCCCGGGAAGTAGAGTCCCGGCTCCCAAAGCGTTGGCCGACCAGTGTCGTGCGTGTAGGCGGCGCAAACTGGGAGTAGCATAAGCTACGAAAATCCGACCAATGATCGAAATTAGTATCGCGGGAACTGGGCAGTTGTCCACGCCCAGTTATGGGTAGGACCATCGCGGGAGCTGTTGATAGTGGTTGATAGCTACATACTGGCTAGGAGCCTTGGTCACGGATGAGTTACATTACAAGCTCGGGAATCAGCCTGCATAGCTGGTAGATGGATAGTCGTTCGCTCCGATCAGTGAGTTGCTTGTCGGAACCTACATCCCATAAACGCACTGGGCATAGTCGTGACGCGGTGATTGGACGTATTCCAATCCCAGGTTCATGGGGACTGAGTTAAGCTTTCTGCAGATATCGCACGTAAATCTGAAAGGATCTGTAGCAATTGCCCATTGCCAGTTTCTGTATAGGAGGTCTTTTTATTTTTTTTTTCTAGCGCTGTGATTAGTTTGTGCGCAATTGGCTCGTGTGCAATTGTTATACACTCGGTCTAGAGATACTATGTCTATGTATTTACTTAATTTTTCTAGATCCGTTAAGAGTCTCGTAAGTTTACTTGAGCGGGTTAGACGTGCATCTCGCCTCATGCTTCAGTGTTGCATCACCTCAACCATTTTTTTGAAAAGCATGGCCGACTGTGCAATTCTATTACACCACCGACAGTCCTTTTATTCATTTGGAATTAAGATGCCTTTTCATGCTGATGCTCGATACTCATTTTCGATATTAAAATAAATCACCTCATAGAAATTGACAAATATCAAGCATCAATTTCGATCATGATCTATTTTGATGCTGAAAATGAGCCTTGAGGGTCAGCATAAAAAAGCATCTTTACGCTCTTATTATACTCCTACTCACTCCAACGATGAATTGAAGATGGCGGCTTTCGATGAATCTGCTTCCTCCGATGAATTTTTCCTTAATTTTTTTTTTAGTTTAGCCAAAAAGAAATCTAAGAGAGACCATATTGATCTTTTTTCTTTTATTATTGAAATTGCCTGTACACTAACGTCAGTACATTCATTTTCGGTTTGGGAACTACATCCATTTTCTGATACAGTCGATAAAATTGTAATGGATATAGTACAGACATGAACCACATCCATTTTTGACGATACAATTTTTTTGACAGAGATATTGAGTCATCTAAAAAGTATCCGCGGTTTTTTGTCACTAGATGTGTGTTGATGGTCATATATCTAGTGACAAAGTACCGCGGATACTTTTTAGATGACCCAATATAATCGTGCTACATATAGTACGATTATATGAACCAAATATTGATTTATCATTTTCAGCTTTGAAAAATGGACGATGTATCTTAAGAAAAGTGGATGTTGACATGTAGTTATATCCACTTTGTCAGAGAGCAGTAATGCGCGGCAACATTTTGTGATTACAGGTTTTTGGGCCGTCATGTCCTCTCTCAGGTTTCTTTCTGGTATGCGTAAGCGTATATGAGAGAAGTTTTGCGATTCGAACACCGCCTACCGAGCACCACTAATACCAATTCAGAAACCTGATTTTGACCACACTTTTCAAAGCTTAGTTCGGCCTTTTATTTTCTACACTTCGTGATATGATACACTTCAGAAATACCAGAGAGAAGCCTAAAAGCAGTTATGCCCAGGATTTACTTTAGCTGTTACTTTATTTTGAAGCGCCTCTATGTCCACAAAATGTAGACATTGAATTACGTAGTCAATGTCCATGATCCGGTCGGTAATGTTTACGATTTTTTTATTGTATTCTTTGCTATGTCCAAGAATTTCCGTTCTTTAAGCCGGTTCTACATTAGTTGCAAGCTGATCGCAAGTTTGTTGCGACAGCCAATATGAAATATTGATTTCTAAATTCAACAAGATTCAGATTGGCTGTCGCAACAATCTTGCGATCAGCTTGCAACTAATATAGAACCTACTTAACAGACCGAAATTCGTGGACATAGCGAAAAATACAACCAAAAAATCGTGGACATTACCGATCGGATCATGGACATTTACTACGTAATTCAATGTCCACATTTTATGGACATAGAGGCGCTTCAAAATAAAGTAACAGCTAAATCCTGGGTATGGCTGCTCTCAAGCTTCTCTCTGGTTCTATGTCAAAATAATTTGGCAACACTGATTGTTATCTATAGTCACTATATCTAATATCTGTACAAGTCGTGCAATTGTGTATGCACACGAGTGCGCAATAGTGGGTAACGTAGGAACAAATCAACAAATTTAGTTCGGCGATTTGATCGAACATTTATTCTCAAATATGATAAATTCAGCAAATGCGATCACTCACCAGGTGAGGAGGTTTACAACGAGCGTGATTCGTAGGAGTGCTCATCACGATCCTTATGATGGCGTTCCTGGATATGTAAGTAACAAATTCGTATAGTTGCATAACAACCCGATGTACAAAGCAGCTATTAGATGTTTAATCACGATATTTTTTACAGAACTTTCCCTTCAGCACGAAAAATAGGCACATGCTGCTACTTGGATTTATGATTTATTGCGGCAGCGGATTTTCCCTTCCCTTCTTCATGGTCCGTCATCAGTTGAAAAAATAAGTTTTTAGTACGTTGTGTCGCTTTGCGAGTCAGGTATTTTATAATAAATTCCTTGGTTTTTATTTGTGGATACACATCAATACATATTTTTGATTAATTGATAAAAATACTACTCTTAATTATCATTCTATTTTTCAGATTATATGACTGCATCGGACTAGTATGATATCCTACATCAATGCTGTGAGCAGTTTATTTATGCTAGGATAATATAATAGGAAATGTATGCGTTTATAATAAAGATTTACTGATATCTGATGTCTATCAGATGTAGAAGCTTATTTTAAGATTATTATATCATTTTTGTTGTGAACTTTCAATTCTACAGTCTTACTAATACAATCATCTGGAATACAATCAGGTATTAAATTCACTTTTTATTTACTATTCATTTTGTTTTCTTCCTTGCATGTTACTAGAGTTGAATTCTATTTCGCATTTGGCTAATTTACATTGAACTTGATATGGATAATTAATAATTTTTTATTGAATTACCTTAATTTCAGCAATACACATATAAACATATATGATATGAATGTTAATTATTTTTATTATTAATTATTATTTTGATTTTAATTATATTATATCAATCTAGTACATCATTCTTTAAATACATTGCTGAAATTAAAATAATTTAATAGAAAGTTACTAGTGATATCAAATGTTCGGTGTAAAAAGGGTCAGTATTCATAAGCATATCATTTCTCTCATTTAACATTTGATAAAAAAAAAATAGTGGATAAAGTACAGCTTAACAAATTAATAATACTTTAACAAAAATAATATTAAAACAAGATTAGTCATTTTCTGTAGGTTTTTTTTACACTGAATACAAATAATGTAGTTTTCAAATTGTTTCATCACATTACAATTTTGAGAAATTGATAGTTAAAATTGCAGAAAAAATAGAAAGCCAATGTAAGCCAGCAACAGATAAAATAAAACTTAATTATAATTTCGTTTAATCTCACTTTAGTAATGTCTTACTGTAAGCACGTTCGCAATTGATCGTCATCAATATATGTAAGTTTTATCCAAAGATTTTAATGACCATTATTTTGATTAGCATTTTAAGATTTTAATTATATTGTTTTATATTTGATATATTGCAGATAATTTAAAATGTACTTGTTTGAGTATTCCGTTAAATACGACAGACGACCTTTAAACAGTTAAATTTTAACTGTTGACGACATTAAATATTATAATATTAAGCGACTGTATACACTTTTTAATTATTTACGGATGAATTTATTTCAATTCTATATTGAAAGCGACTCAGTAATGAGAGTCTCTCGACCGTCTATTTGAAATGTCTGCAATTTTTATTTCACTTCAAATATATGAAATTCTTGCACACGAACGACCTGTGACTGGCTTCTATTGTTTGAATTGACAATTTAAGTTGCAAAAAGAATTATTTGCGGTTACTTTGTTATATTGTAATTATAATATGTACGTATATTGTAACGTACTGAAGTTTTATTGCAATCAAACATGTTCTTAAGACTTTCAGCTCTTAAAAGAAATTTTTCATGTCGACTATGGTTAATGAGATATGGTTAAATGTAAAGTTTATTGTGGAAAAACTGTGAATTAGATTATTGACAATTTACTAAACGGCTTTCAATTGTATTTATTTAAACTTTTTAGACTAAATACGAATTGAATGTCAAAATTAACAAATTCAAAATTATGAGAGACTTTTTTTTGTATACATATTTATAAATTTTCGCAACAATTCAAATATTTTTCGAATATTTTTGAAGTTTTTAAAATTCGCCATATTGAATTTGTTAATTATTATATTGGATTTAGCGGTTTAATTAAGCGGTTTAATTACTACCACAGACAAAATTCCATAACAGTAACTGTAAGGTTAAATTTAAACCGATGAGTCAATCAGGATACTGCTTTAGATATACGTAATCTGACGGAAATAGAAATAGCAACTTATCCATAATGTTGAAATAAAAGTTTTTTATAAGAGAATATATTTTTCTTATATAAGATTAATCAAATTTATTTAAATTTTGTTTTATAAATTAAGTTTAATTACAACAACATTTAAAATTAATAAGAAGAAAAAATAAGAGATCAATCGAAACATATGCCTTGATGTACAATATCAAATGTAGAAATAATCATATATCAATATGTATAGATATTAAATCAATTAACTATTATATATATATATATATCAATCATATAAATCAAAATATTAAAAAATTTTAAATATTCCCGTCAGAAAGACTTTATTTATAATATTGTAATCGAATTACAGGGCTTCGAATTCCGTTGAAAATGCATTTCAAAGTAAAATACTTTTAAAAAATGTATACAATCCTGGCGAAAAGTTTTTACGAAAACCTACATAAATTGAAATAAGATTTTAGAAATTCTTTGTTTTTCGTAGATATTCGATAATGAGACGTAACGTTGTTTATTTGAAAACCAGGAAATCCTCCTCCCTTAAACAACGTCACTCTACGTCTCACTACGAATATCTACGAGAAACAAAGAATTTCTAAAATCTTATTTCAATTTATGTAGGTTTTCGTAAAAACTTTTCGTCAGGGTTGTATCCTTGTTTAACATTGAGTGAACAACAAATCCCTGGATTGGCGCTTTCGAAAATATGAGCAAGAGCATACTCTTGTCTTTATGCTATCATGATTGCAATAAAACATCTGCACGTCACATTTTATAGATATAATATATTTAATACAACAAAATACTTAACAAGCTTTTTCTGCCACTAACTGTTTTCTCAACATTGTAACGTAATGGAGCTTTGGAAATTAGATTTGCATTCAGCATCCAAAAAAAACTTCTGGACTTATCTCGTTCCAATGTTAGAAAAAAAGTCATTTTTTATCAAACAATGTAATCGATGCTTCTAAAATGTTGAAATTATATAATTATATAATTAAAATAATATCTCGAAATGCTTTGTGTTCATATACTATGCATACAACATTTATTTATAACATATACGTTCTCCAATACAAAGATGTAATTAATACATAGCTATTTAATAGATATAGTTATATATTAAAAATATATGTACGTAATCGGATAAATATTACATAGTTTTTCAATTAATAATTGAGCCTAAAATATCTTACAGGTTTCTCTTAAAATACGTAATTCTCTTCGTTATTTGCAGTAAGTTTTCTTACAGATATGTCTTTTGTCATGTATCAAAATCACATTCTGGCAGGCGCGGTCCTTTACGACATGACCGCTTTGGATAATCTACATAAAATAGAGTTATTACATACGCAATATTTATGTGAAGAAGCAGTATCGGAAGATTTCATATGTTTATCAAAAGATACTTACGATTGTTATAATCTTCATGAGATCGATAAGAATCTGGACTAATTATTGGGACATTCTTTATACGATGCGATCCCCATTCATCTTCGTATAGCTATAGCGAGATAAAAAACGAAATTAACTTTGGACAATAACTTAAATTCTGCTAAATTTAACACGAAAATTTTTAAGATCGATAAAAATTTATCGTATTATTCCAGAATTTTACGAACGTGCGTTTTGTATTTTTTTCTTTCGTTCTGTTTTCGGTGTTTTTTATTTACATAAAACTTTCCTTTCTTTTTCTTGATTCTGTACTCGCTGTCCCATTGCTGATCTTCGTTTTCATTTGCATCCTTAATCAACGGTTGCTCCTCCACATTCTGTAAAGTAAAAAAAAATCAATTATTTATCTTCTATCATTTCTTAAAATTTAATACATTGCAATTTTACCTCTTTTTCAAATGTATTTTCCCTGATAATAAGACCAGCTATTCGCTTTACGCAGAATTTCTTCTTAGCGCAGCAAATTATCCATAGTAACAGCAAACATATCAACAGTATCGCGCCAATACTTGCCAAAGTTACCATTACAGCGGAGAAAGAATTCCAGAGCTATAAGAGAAAATGATTTATGTATAATAAATCATTAATGTGAAAAATTGATATTAAAAATTATTTGCTAGTCTTAAAGATTAATGCCAATTTCCACACTGATAAATATAACTTATATCATCATCATCATCATCATCATCAGATATCACTAAAAATAATTTTGGAAAAGAAATACATATATAATTTTTATACCTATCCGTTCCAATTCTATCATATTTTCTTTACATATGTAAAATGTAAAATTTTGAGCTATTAAACATCATTATTAAGTCTAATAATATCTAAAAGAGAAAATTATAAAAGACTAAATCTTCTCTTCATTTAATTAAGAAAGACAAAGTAGATAAAATAACGTGTATAGGCAAAATCAGGTAAAATAGAATTGATGAAGTTAATTTGTATTGTATTGAAAAAAGCACAATAAATATATAAGTATATGAATAAAAGCTGATATCTGAATTTGTTGATTTTTTTAAATTTTTTTCTAGAAACTCTTCAGACTATACTGTGCATATATTTTACAAGCTGCATTGGATACGTACCATATTGTAACAACCTTTTGTCGTTGGATTAGTGCACGTACGACAAACTCTAGCGCCGTGATTCGGTTGATACGTACCGGGTGGGCATCTTTTACAGTGCGACGTTCCATCCTCGCTATAAGTGCCCACGTTACAAGGAACTGAAAGAAAATTCGTCAGCTGTTAATTAATTAATTATATCGTATTGATTTGCCTGACATGCGAATCACTTACCACAATGTGTATCACGAAGACCATATCCCGCTGGGCAGCTGGAGAACAAGCCGATATTACTGGATCTTCCGGTGGATACGTTTGCATCGGTTTTTCCTCTCTTCCGTCTTGCGAACGACGACTTTTCAACGATCGGCACCAGTCTCTGCTCGTAATGCGGTAATCTGAAAATAACTATAGTTAAAGAACTCTATAGAGTGTATTGTCTCTATGTATTGTGAGTTATATAAAGCCGCAACATTCCTTCATTTTAATCCAATAAAATTATAAATATTTATTAATTATTTTATTATATTTTGCTGCAGAGAAAGAGAGAGAATATATGTTCTGAATAGAAAAGTTAAAAAATTCTTTGTAACTTAACGAAACTTTAATGAAAATGCAATATACATTACCGCTCAAAAGTATTTTGTCCACTTTGATTTTAATAGTTTTTTATACACTTAAATTTCATTCTAATTCTAATAAAATTTTGAGCTATTAAACATTATTATCAAACCTAACATCTAAAAGATTAAGAAAGATTAAAATTCTCTTCATTTAATTAAGAAAGATAAAGAATGGATAAATATTTTTGAGCGATAATGTGTACAGACAAAATCGGACAAAATAGAATGGATGAAGTTAATTTTTGTATTGTAAAAAAGTAGAGAGTATGTTGCGACAAGGTAAAACGAATATATGTTTGTCAACTAACTAGTCTTCTCGAGGAAGATTTGCAGATTTTTACTCAGTATCAGCGAGAGTTTATCTTGAATGGCTTTAAGACAGAAGACATTGCAGCGTTTGGGATCGACCGTCATTAGTTTAACGATATGCGATGGCACTAACAGAATATTCACTGTAATCTATGACCAAGAATAGCGCACATTAGTACATCAAAATTAAGAGTCCAGGAGAATGTATCTCATTTTATGAAGTAGAAGAAGATCATTGAAACTATTTTGTTTTTGGATTAATAAGAATATAGAAATAAGAATATTTCTTAAACGGAAGCTAAAAATAAAAACTTTAGAAATATAAATATAAGCTAGAAAGTGTCTTTTATCAGAAAATATAGCAGCTTTTATAATACTTTTTATAATTTTGCAATAATCATCTTTTTCGTAAGATAAGCAAAAATCTGACAAAATGAACCCCAAAACTGATACAGTAGATAGTAATGTCACATATTCCTATTCTTTTTTTTTTATAAGAACCATCTACACAAATACTTACAAATAAATATGTTTATTTTCTACACTCTTTTCACTTTTATATAAAATGTTTTTCGTTCATTTATACATATACATAGGTACTTTATGCTGTTTTGCAAACATGTAACACGACAGTTTCTTTTTTTGAAAATTTTCTTATAAATATATACGATTGCTTTCAATTTCAATAGGGCTATTCGATACTATAATGCAACACTATAAAAATTAAAGGTCACTTTACGATTCGCCGATTAGCTTAATAGGTCGATTAGTCCATTGAAATTGGTCAATTGCATTTATCATTTCGTTTGACGGTAAATGCTATTGGACTAATCGGCCGATTAAGCTAATCGGCGAATCGTAAAGTGACCCTAAGGTATAAGCTTATAGTCTGTTTTATAGATATGCTGATTTACATTGCGAGGTGTCGAGTGGTTTGCCGCTCGGTGCGATTGAATCGCGATCTGTAAATTCGGATTCAATCCCACATATGCGATTTTTCACATTAAATAGCCAAAAATGACTCCATCTAATGATTAAGAAATCTTTGATTATCAGCGCCGTTCGGATCCGGCATTAAACTGTAGATTCCATATATATCTGTGGATATATGTATGGATCCTCCAGGCTGGAGATTGGATATTAGGCTAACAACCTAATTCCTCTAGAAAATAATCTATTGTTAGGAAAACCTCATGAGAAGGCTCTGTCCCGTCTTGGGATGTTGCGCCATCGGATGATGGTTTACATTGCACTTTATAAAACCCATAATAAGACAAAAATACAAAGAAAACTGATTTAGGAAACTACAAACATGTAAAGCGATATAATATTATCAATAATATAAATTATGCAATTTGCAAAAGAAAATTGCATAAATTTTATTTTTGCATTTATAGAATTTGTTTTTAGCTGATTTTAGTTAGAAACAAGCTACAAATGTATGAATTATGAGTTTTTACCTCTCTAAACAAATCATATTTTTATCAGTAATTAATAAAATGCAATAGTTAGTTTTTCCAAGAAATAAGGAAGTATCTCTTTAGAAGATCTATATATGTCAGTTATCGGTAACACTTTCCTCTAACATAAGGAAACGTACTTGACTTCGGGAGCAAGACGGCGTTAAGACGTAAGCGTTGCAAACATCTGCCTCGCATATAATATTGTTCAATTTTGGGGGTAGATATGTTACCAGCATATCCAAGTCCTCTTCGTCGCAAGATCGTACATGATAACGATTTTCTCCGTGCACGATGTACCTCGGCAGCGTGACAACTGCAAAAGACCTCTTTTTAGATCGACGAATCATTTATCGCCCCTTCGAATTCGTTAAAATATAAATTTCAATTAGTGATTTACCTTGCAAATGGATTTCGTAAGTGGTTTCCACGGATTCCTCATTATCGGGGCTCATATACTTCATGACACAGGTATAATTTCCCGTGTCTTTCGCGTTCACATTTCGCAATTCCAAATCGCCGTTTTCCGTCACGAAACCTACAACGAACGATTCCGTAAGTTCCAAATTTCACCGAAAGAATCACACATTAATTATACGAAAAATTGGATTCTGGTGAGTTAGTTTTCACATATAATGTAACTTGTAATGTAGAACAAGAAATGTGTCATAGACACAAGACTCAATAACGAATAGTTTTTTAAGATGTAGTGTATCCAACGTAAAACTACTGAAGCATCTTTCATACATAATATTTCAAAAATTATTCGATATTGAGCCTTGTATCTGTGACGACGTCTTTCGTTGTGAAATGCTTCTTTTCGAATTCGAATGTAACAGGACAATGTAATGCCGCACCGAAGAGTGCAATGCCGTCCGTTCTTTTCCATGTGTAACTCGGTCTGCTAATGCTTGATAGCCACGTGATACCATTGCCGTCTTGATTACAGGGTAAATTGAGATTAAGACCGGGTAATGAGATAACATCGTTATCTGGAAAAAATTCTTTATATTATTGTCATGTTTAATATTAAATACTTGATGAAAAACTCGCGATGGAAGTACCGCTGTCAAGTTCCGAGTTGATTTTCAAATTGTTCTCCAGTTCTCCTAGTTTGATATATTTCTGTCCCTTAAGTGATTCGATGTTGTAATGCGGTTGGGGAAATTCTTTGGCTTCCTCCATGTCGGAATCCATTGAGATCACTATTTTGTCCTGTATCTCTTTATATTCGCTGCAATTAAGTGCCTTAATTTCGTCTAATGAGAAGCTTGCTCTGTCAAATACAGATCTTATGTTGTTAATTACATTCGCGATATTACAAATGCAATTAAAACAATTATGGATTTTATGCGACGCAGACATTGATTTATTTTTACGATTTATGATATTAGGATGCGTTACTTTCTCACTGTTTTTTTTATCGTCAATGGACCTTACTTGAAGAGATTGATTAGCAGTTGTTGTTTTACGGTATGCATTTTTTTTCTTTACGACACCGTTATCTGTATTATGAAGGGAGTGTAAATTTTGTGATGTTCGCGATTTTGCTACTTGCTTCTTTTTGTGTTTGTTTGTATCTTTGTGCCTAACAATTTGACGCTTCAATTTGTTTGCATTAGCAATGCACAGCTTGCGGTTTTTCACTGTTGAATCTTCGCTGGTACATCGGAAATCGTTAAGTCTTACTATTCTTTTCTTTTCGAAACTTTCCTGCTTGTAATGATTTGGTTCGAATTTTTGCGATTCGCGTTTTAATTTCTTTGCTACCCTGGGTTGCTTTGTTCTTAACTTATAACGCAATGCATTCATTCTCGTTATGTTTTCAAGACTGGCATCTCGGTTTTTAATAGAAACATGTTTCGTTATCTTATTGCTATTAAGGTGGTGTTTATAATAAGATATATTAGATTTTATTTTGTCATTTCTTTTAAGAACAACATCAAAACAGGTCGTTCTGGGGAGCGATCCATCAATGGTTTTACTTTTATCAGTTGTACATAATACAACTGATGTGGGTTCCGTAACAAAATCGAGTTCCCATAATCTAGTGCCGCCTAAATGATACATTGTATTTTTCTCAGTAGGCCATGCTTGATTCAATAATTCTGTTTTATTTTCTGTCATTCTTTTATCCTTATTTCCGTTATCTAATAATCTTCCATCATATGTTTGTGTTGATGTTTCATGTTCCTTATAATTCATATAATCTATAATATTTAAAAAATTTAACAGAAATATTCGAAATATATATGTTACAATGTCATACATATAAGAAAAAATAGATTCTCTAATCTACTGCATATCTACTGCAATAAAACCTTAAAAATGAAGATATAATTTAATTATACAGAAAAAGGATAGCGATGTCAACTATAAAGTTAATAATTTATACAAGTTTTATAGAATTAATATATAGTTGAATAAACTGTTATAGTTATTGCAACAATTTATTCAACTATGTATATTAATTCTAAAAAGCTTATATAGTTATAACCTTTATAGTTTCTATCATTATGTTTTTCTCCGAGTGTGATTATTTGCGCAATGCACACAAATAATATTATAATGTAAATAAATATAAAAAAATGAAAACTCATAGAATGCATAGAATCATGATATTCGAAAAGTTAAGATCTTTTTAGCATATATACCTTCTATTAAATCCTCTATATAGTCATTATATTCTTCCATTTTTTTCTCCATTTTGTCTGATATTTCATTATCTTCATTTTTCTCTTCATTCTTATAGTTTGGCGTTGTGATTTTCTTATCTTTTCCAAAATCAGTTACATAAATATCATCACTTGATTCAAATAAAATTGCTGTTAGTTCGTCTTCATCTGGTTTAGCAGATATTACTTTATGCATTTGTTCTTCATCGTAATTGAGGTGTAGTACGTTTACCGTATAAATTTCATCTTCTTTGATTGTTGCTTTTTCATTTGAAATATTGGCTGTATTTTTCTTCGACCAAAACCGTTCATTATTCTCTCTCGATGAAACGTCTCTCTTTCGAACACTTGTTTTGTCGTCACTTTTTCTTGTAGTAATCAAATCGTATCTGAACAATGCGTTTCTCTTTCCATATTTCTTACTATCCATGAACGTCGCAGTTGGTTGGAAGACACTTTCATAATAATCAAAAACATGTTGTTCATATAGAGAAGTACAATTTTGAAAATCGTAGGTCGTGTTTTTTTGCATTGCAATCTTTTTTGGAAATTTCTTCATTTTTTTATAAATCCTAGAGAAACCTTTAAAATATTGCAATGGCTTAGTGATATTGCTCAGCCATTCATAATTCGACAGCTGCAGATTGTCAATCTTACGAGTAGTCTCTTTCTCTCTTCTGCGATGCCGAAAATTTAATGGAACATCCCATCTCGATCTTTTAATTTTCTTCGTACTTGGTAAAGCAAGAAGCCTTCTGCTTAATCGACCAATTGATTTCTTCTCTTCATTTTTTTCCGGAAAGTACGGCAGACAGATCTTTTTAGTTACAATATTTCTTCTTCTTTTATCGAAAGGAATCGTTGTATTTTCTAAAACGTTCAGACAAATTCGTTTTGTTATTATTTCTTCTTCTTCCTGCGTGACAGTTTTTTCAGGAACAGATGTTGTTTGTTTCTTTTCTTCGATATCTTTCATTTCTGTATATTGAGTAATTCCCATCTTTGTAGTCGTTCGATTTTCTTTCTTTTCGGTTATTCTTTCAATCTGCGTTGTTAATTGAGCTTTTATAGTAATTCTTTCAGTCGGCGGTACTGGCGTTGATAAACTCGTGAGCATAGTCGATTTCTCGGACGGTATAATTAATATTTTTTTCTTTTCAAATTCTTTCATGTATTTATTAAATTCCATTATATCTCTCTCTAATTTTTTCTCTCTTTCCAGCAGAATCTTTTCTCTCTCTTTTAATTCGTGCTCCTTCTTGCGCAATTCTTCTTTCAATTTTTCTATTTCCTCATAATACTTTACCTCTGTAGTCGTGCTAATAGCCATAGTCGATAAAGTGAACTCTAATTCCGATGAAGTGAGTAAAGGTTTACCATAAATATCTGTATAAGTTGCTATGTATGTTTCTTCTGTGGTATACCACGTAGGGGTTGTAACTGAAGTTACACTGATTTCTTCAAATCTTGTACTAAATGTAGTAATAGGTAAAGTAATGAACTTACTGGTGACTAATGTAATTGGACTAGTAATGGTTTCTTCTGTGGTATACCACGTAGGGGTTGTAACTGAAGTTACACTGATTTCTTCAAATCTTGTACTAAATGTAGTAATAGGTAAAGTAATGAACTTACTGGTGACTAATGTAATTGGACTAGTAATGGTAGATGAAACGAATAAAGGTTCGCTTAGAGTTATGTAACTCGTAGTATATATTTCTCTAACAGTATAAGGAGTCGTAGTTTCAATTGTAGCTAAGCCAATACTATATAAATCTACAACAGATGTAGTGATATACGGCGTGAAGGTTACGTAATCCGTAATTTGTATCTCCTCTATCTCTTCTGTGAAATATGTAATAGTTGTGCTTCTCTCCGTAGTGTAAAGCGCTTCCTCTATTTCTTCCGTAACATATGGCGTAAATGTAGTCTCTTCTATTTCTTCCGTAACATATGGCGTAAATGTAGTCTCTTCTATTGCTTCCTCCGTAGTATATGTCACTCTCTCCATAGTATATGTCACAGATATGGTTTCCTCTGTTATACTAAACGGAGTCGTTTCGAATACGTAACTTACAGTATACATTTCTTTGGTAGCATACGAAGTTGCAGTTTCAATTGAAGCTAAACCGATATTATACAAATCCATGATAGATGTAGTAACATACGGTGTCAAAGTTATATAATCTGTAATTTGCGTTTCCTCTATTTCTTTTGTAATGTATGTGATAGATGTGGTTTTCTTTATAGTGTAAGGTATAATTGTTTTTTCTGGAGTATATGTCACAGATGTACTTTCTTCTGTAGTTATTTCCTCCATTTCTTCTGTAGTATATATCTCGGATGTGATTTTTTCTGTGATACTAAATAGAGTTGTTTTAGTTGGAACCGTAGTAATTTCGACTAAACTTAACGTAGTAATAGATATCTCGAAACCAGGGGATGTAATTTCAATTTCTGTAGTCGGCATAGTTAAATTTGTACCAATAGTATAGATGGGAGATGTAATCGAGATACTGGTAGTAGTTGTAGGATAGCCCTCAGTTGTTACTGTAATATTCTTCTCTTTCTCTTTTTCACGTTGCATCATTTTTAAGCGTTTTTTCTTTTCTATGTCCCACTGTTTTTCTTTTTCCTTGAGCCTTTCTTCTCTCTCCATTATCTCTTTTTCATATTGTTTGAGATTGTCGAGTTGTTGTAGTAACTGTTGTAGTAACTGTTCTTTCTGTTCTCGTTCAGTTTTGCTCATCGTAGTAAATACAGGTTTTATCGTAGTAATTTCAGTTTCAGCTTCAGATGTGATAAATGGTGTTACACTCGGGATAGTCTCTTCTCCCGTCATCGCTGAAGTGATAACTTCATAAACGGTTTTGATACTTTCCATTTCAGAAGATACAGTACTCGTGGTTGTTGCGAACACTTCAATAACTTCTCTTTCCGGTAACGTCGTTTGCGTTGATGAGATGAAAAAAGAAGTTAACTTTTCCACGGTAGTCTCAGTCTCTGAAACTTGTTCTGGAATTGTAGTCAATGCAATCTTTGGAATTTCTTTAGGCTTTGTAATGAATTTTGGTGTAGTAACCCAGATTTGCGTGAACCGTTCTACAACCGTATACCTGGGAGGAATCGTTAGATAGTCAAGTGAATCCGTTGGAATTTTGAAAGTTGTTGAAGAGGGAAGAGTGTATTCTTCAGTAGAACCAAAAGTAAACCACATTGTTGTTGATTCTTCTTTACTTACAGTGGACGCTGTTAATTCAGTTTCCATTTTAACCGTTGTAACATTTTCAACTATAGTCGATGTGGATGTTTCTAAGATAGAAGTTGAAGTAATTTTTTCGGTATAAGATATTTCTGGAGTAGCCACGGTTGAAGTCACATTAATATAAGTTGATGCAGTTTCAGAATGTGTTAGGTATTTTGTAAACTCTGAAGTTTTTATTTTATATAAAGATGTCGTTGTACCTTCAATAAAAGGCGGACTCGTTGCCTTTTCTTTAAGTAATTCCGTATATTCTGTCATAGCTGTTTCTTTTGTCGTGGTTTCGTATTCGTCATAATAATACCACTTATCAGTCGGTATTTCAGTATCGTATTCTTCATATTCTTCATATTCTTCTTCGTAAAATGGCTCTTTTGCTACATAATATTCCGTTTCAGCTTCTAGCGATTCTTCAGTAGGTTCTGTCGAAATTGAAACAATGGGAGAAATGGTTGTTTCGATAAGTAATATAGAAATTTGAGTAGTGTATGTTATTGATGGACTTTCAGTCGTTGATGTCGTAAACTCTTCTGATACAGTTGTTGACAATGTAGAAATAACTTCCGATGTAGTCACAGGCGTTTCCGATGTAATTATTATTGATAGAATTAATTCGGAAAATGGAGCAAGCGTCACGGTAATTGCAGCTTCTAAAATTGTTGCATATTCTGGTCTTTTAGTAGTTGGCAATAATGTAGCAGTTGCAGTTGTTATCAAACTTGTTTCTGTAATTTCTGTGGCAGTTTCTTCCAAAAGTAAAGCAGTCGTCGCGACTGCTGCCAAACTGGTACTCGTAGTACTTGTTTCTATTGTTGGCATTGTACTTGTTTCAGTGGAAATTAATGTAACTTCAATCATTGTTTCAGGAGTAACAGTGACGATTTTTTCAATCAATAAAGTTTCTTTAGTTATCGTGAACAAAGTAATCGTTTCGATTACGGGAGAAGTTGCTTCTGAAATCGTTTCAACAGAAAACGAAGTAGTAAAAAACGTTATTGGTGTTGTTTCTTCGATAGTAACTTCTTTTGTAGTAATCCAAGTTGTATGTTCTGTCGTTGTTAGTTTAGCTGTACTTGTAACTGTCGCTATTTCTTCTCTCGTTGTTTCATAATATTCTTCAGTTTCTTTAGTTTCTTCATATTCTATTATAGAAGACGTCGTACCTGTAATGGTTTCTGTTAAAAGAGATGAAGTAACTAAGGTAGAGGTAGTCTCATAAGCTGTTGTTCCAGTATCCATCACAATAGGCTTGATTGGAATTTGAGTGATAGAAGGCGTTGTTACCGTCAAATATGTAAACGGAGATATTGTACTTTTGAGGATCTCTTCTGTGATTGTGCTAGCAGTTGTAGTGAAGACTGTGGCGTTCACAGTCAAGATGGATGATATAGTCAGAATCGTTTCGATTGTGGATACCGTTGTAGGAATTGGCAATGCAGCTTTAGTGTGTAATGTCTCAAATGAAGATGCTGTCGTAGGTATTAAAGAAACTGTAGTCTCTTCTATTAAAAATGTAGAAAGCGTAGTATTCGGCATTTCACTTGACATTGTGCTTGTAACTAATGGTAGTGGCGTTGTCGTTGTTACTTTTAATGATGTAGTTGGAATTGCAGTTTTGAAAGAAGTTGTAACAGCTCCTTTTGTCGTAGTCAAAAACATGCTAGAAATCGTAGTATACAGTGTTTCACTTAGCGTCGTATTTGTAATCAACGTTTGTAATAGCGTTATAATAGATGTCGTCGAAGGAATTAAAATGGTCTCAGCTGTTTCAGTAGTAATAATTGTAGTCAAAGTAGTCAGAGTTGGTGTTGGGAAAAATTCTTTCGAGGACATTGTCATGGATGATGTAGTACTTTCTGATGTTGTGAAAAACACAGTTGTAATAGATGTAGTTGAAGTTACTGGAATTTCTGTGGATCCTAAACTTTCGGTAATTGTTAAAATTTCGGTAATTATTTGAGTTTCGGTACTTGATGGAGTTTCCGTAATTGTTGGCGTTAAACCTTTAGTACTTACTGTTGTTTTAATCGTTGGAATTTTAGTAGTTGCTATAATTTCAGTAAGTGTTAAAGTTTCAGTAATGGCTGTAATTTCTGTAATTGTTGGAATTGGACTAGTCATTGATATTTCGCTGGTTGTCGGAGTTTCGGTAAACGCTGTTTCTGTAGTTGTCAGAGTTTCAGTAACCGTTAGAATTTTGCTGATTGTGGTAGTTTCTATAGTTGTTGAAATCTCGATAATTGTCGAAGTTTCGGTAGTTGTCTTAATTTCAATAGGCGTTGAAGTTTCAATAGGCGTTAAGATCTTAGCACCTGTAGTTTTTTTAATAATTGGAGTTGTGTAAGTTGTTAAAATTTCAGTAGGTGTTAAAGTTTCCGTTATTGTTGTTGTTCTAACTATAGTCGTTGGAATTGTACTGGTCGTTGGAATTTCGCTAGTTGTTAGGATTTGGATAGATGTTGGAGTTCCCACTGGAGTTATTACACTTTTATTAGTCGTTAGAAATTCGGTAATTTTTGTAGATGTTGTAATTTCGGTAATTGTCGAAGTTTCAATAGTTGTTTTAGTTTCAATAGGCATTAGAGTAGTTTCAGTAGGCGTTATGATTGTAGTACCTGTTTCTTTGATAATTGGAGTTTTATAAGTTGTCAAAATTTCAGTAGATGTTAAAATTTCCGTTGTTATTGTTGTAGCTATAGTCGTTGGAATTGTACTAATCGTTAATATTTTGCTGGCTGTCGAAGTTTCGATAGTTGTTGGTGTTTCCGCAGTCGTCATAGTTTTATTAATCGGTAGAATTTCGGTAATTGTAGTTTTTATAGTCGAAATTTCGGTTGTTTTAAGTGACGTTGTACTGAGCGTTGAAATTTCAGTACTTGTAGTTTCTTCAGTAATTGGAGTTTTAAGAGTTGTCAAAATTTCAGTAGATGTTAAAATTTCCGTTGTTATTGTTGTAGCTATAGTCGTTGGAATTGTACTAATCGTTAATATTTTGCTGGCTGTCGAAGTTTCGATAGTTGTTGGTGTTTCCGCAGTCGTCACAGTTTTATTAATCGGTAGAATTTCGGTAATTGTAGTTTTTATAGTCGAAATTTCGGTTGTTTTAAGTGACGTTGTACTGAGCGTTGAAATTTCAGTACTTGTAGTTTCTTCAGTAATTGGAGTTTTAAGAGTTGTCAAAATTACAGTAGATGTTAAAATTTCCGTTGTTGTTGTAGCTATAATCGTTGGAATTGTACTAATCGTTAATATTTTGCTGGCTGTCGAAGTTTCGATAGTTGGTGTTTCCGCAGTTGTTATAGTTTTATTAATCGGTAGAATTTCGGTTATTGTAGTTTTTATAAATGAAGTCTCAGTAATTGTCGAAGTTTTGCTAGTTGTCGAAATTTCGGTTGTTTCAATTTTAAGTGACGTTGTACTGAGCGTTGAAGTTTTAGTACTTGTAGTTTCTTCAGTAATTGGAGTTTTAAGAGTTGTCAAAATTTCAGTAAGAATTGAAGTTTCTGTAATTGTTGTAGCTTCTATGGTCATTGGAATCTCCGTAGCTGTTGTTAAAGTTTCAGTAGTAATTATTATAATTTCAGTAGGCGTTGGAGTTTCGGTAGTCGTTGGAACTTCTGTAGCTGTTTCCTCCGCGGTTATAGTTTTCTCAATCTGTGACACTGGACTCTCGTCCTCCGGTATTAAAGTTGTTATCGCAATTTTTGTCGATGTACTTAAAATCGTTTCCGTTTGTTTTAAAACCATAGGCGAACTTGCGATTGCAGTAGTACTCTCAGTTTTATACAAAGTTATATTCTCGCCAACAGATTCTGATGTTGCAATTTGAGAAGCTGTTGCTAGAGATGTTAAAACTGATACGATAAAAGTTGTAGTTTCAATCATCAATTCTGTTTGTGTAGTTTCAAGTAATGTCGAGAATGTATATAAAGATATATTTGTTTCAATAAATGAACTTTGTGTTATTTCCGTTGCCAGACTTGTTGATATATTTTCCATAATTTCTCTCTCTGTAACAACGGTTAAAGCGGGTATCTCTTCAATTAAAGTTTCAGTAGCTACAGGAACTGTAATCTTTAAAGTAATATCCGTCATATCTTCTAAAAATGCAGTTAATAGCATGACAGATTCGGTTGTAAAAATTTCTATCATTGTTGTAGCTATAGTCGTTGGAATTGTACTAATCGTTAATATTTTGCTGGCTGTCGAAGTTTCGATAGTTGTTGGTGTTTCCGCAGTCGTCATAGTTTTATTAATCGGTAGAATTTCGGTAATTGTAGTTTTTATAGTCGAAATTTCGGTTGTTTTAAGTGACGTTGTACTGAGCGTTGAAGTTTTAGTACTTGTAGTTTCTTCAGTAATTGGAGTTTTAAGAGTTGTCAAAATTTCAGTAGATGTTAAAATTTCCGTTGTTGTTGTAGCTATAATCGTTGGAATTGTACTAATCGTTAATATTTTGCTGGCTGTCGAAGTTTCGATAGTTGGTGTTTCCGCAGTTGTTATAGTTTTATTAATCGGTAGAATTTCGGTTATTGTAGTTTTTATAAATGAAGTCTCAGTAATTGTCGAAGTTTTGCTAGTTGTCGAAATTTCGGTTGTTTCAATTTTAAGTGACGTTGTACTGAGCGTTGAAGTTTTAGTACTTGTAGTTTCTTCAGTAATTGGAGTTTTAAGAGTTGTCAAAATTTCAGTAAGAATTGAAGTTTCTGTAATTGTTGTAGCTTCTATGGTCATTGGAATCTCCGTAGCTGTTGTTAAAGTTTCAGTAGTAATTATTATAATTTCAGTAGGCGTTGGAGTTTCGGTAGTCGTTGGAACTTCTGTAGCTGTTTCCTCCGCGGTTATAGTTTTCTCAATCTGTGACACTGGACTCTCGTCCTCCGGTATTAAAGTTGTTATCGCAATTTTTGTCGATGTACTTAAAATCGTTTCCGTTTGTTTTAAAACCATAGGCGAACTTGCGATTGCAGTAGTACTCTCAGTTTTATACAAAGTTATATTCTCGCCAACAGATTCTGATGTTGCAATTTGAGAAGCTGTTGCTAGAGATGTTAAAACTGATACGATAAAAGTTGTAGTTTCAATCATCAATTCTGTTTGTGTAGTTTCAAGTAATGTCGAGAATGTATATAAAGATATATTTGTTTCAATAAATGAACTTTGTGTTATTTCCGTTGCCAGACTTGTTGATATATTTTCCATAATTTCTCTCTCTGTAACAACGGTTAAAGCGGGTATCTCTTCAATTAAAGTTTCAGTAGCTACAGGAACTGTAATCTTTAAAGTAATATCCGTCATATCTTCTAAAAATGCAGTTAATAGCATGACAGATTCGGTTGTAAAAATTTCTATCATTGGAATTGTGATAGGAATTTCAGTTACTTCAGTAATCGCAACAACTGGTGTTATAGTTAAATCAGTGATTGATATTGCAGTTTCCTCCATCGAAAGAATTGTTAATTTTGTCATATAAAATAGTGGCAACGTAGTCGACATTGGTATTATAGAAGCACTTAACGTAATCGGCGATGTTATGTATTCATATAAAGACGATTTAGTTATCTCGAAAATTTCTTTCTCTTCTGCGATTGTACTGGAAGTTGTAATTATCGGTGCCTCGATAAAGTACGGTAAAAATGTTAACGTAGGTACAAAAAATTCTGTAGTTGTGAAAATTAATGATGGCAACGACTCCGTTAGTTTCTGAGTGGTCCATATTTCAGTAGCGTATTCTACTTTTTTAGTTTTACCCAATAATTCAAGTATATCAAGATAAGCCGTCGCTTCCTTATAAAATTGTGGATCAATAGGATGAAATTTTTTTTCTTTATCAGAACCAGACATATTTAAAAAGAATGTATTTTCCGGTGAAATTATCGATCTACTTATTTGATGATTCTTTTGATGATTTTGTCTGCCGCCTTCAAAATTTTTGCTCGATATGTCACTTTTAATCAAACGCGACAATCCTAAAATTGGCGTTGTGCGCTTCATTTTTTTCAATCCGAACTGTCGGATTGGCTTCATTCGTGTTTCGTAATTTTTCGTCAGAGACTTTAAATTTCTATTAAACCTTGAATGAGACAATTTGTCGCCTGATTTGGAAAACTCTCTCTCATTCAATTTTCTCTTTTTGAGGAAGTTTCTGCGACCGCTCTGTACCTCTAAATCGCTAATCGAGCTTTTGTGCTTATAAAACGGTGTCATCAATTTATTTAAAAAGATAGTTCTTCTTCTAATTTTTACATCGCGTTCTGCAATACTTTTATCTCCAATTTCAATATGTCTCTTGTCCAAAGACTGATTATTAAAACTTTTTATAGAGAAATCAGAATCGTAATAATCTACTTTATCAACTAGTTTCGTAATATTTGTGGCGTTTCTATTTTTGCTCTCTTGCTCGGTCCTCGCTGATCCGACATTTTTTTTATCGCACAGTCTACTTTGCACGTTGCTGATACTTTGATTGACTAATTGAATTGCGCCTAGCAATTTTTGTAACTCTGAAGACAATGGTTTAATTGACATTAATAGAGCATTCGAATTTTCTACTACGTTAGACTGCGCTTTCTTCAATATTTCATCAGTATTTAGAAGTAACGACGCAGATGTCACGTAATCTTCTTTATTAAGAAACGAATCTACTTCAGTAGTATAATTAGTAAACAATACCTCATCGATTGATCTATTATTGTAATACAAATCGTTGGAATGTGTTGACATTTTATTGTTATATTCACTTGAAATCGAGATTCCGTATTTCTGATTATCTATATCTTGGCTATTTAAAATGCCATTATTAACGAAGTGGTTAGTGATATTCGGAAAGAAAATATTATCTTCATTTGCAGATGCGTCAAAGACAGCTCTATATTGCGTTGAAATGTCATCTATAAAGTTTGTTATAGATGTATCTTCGTTGCTTTCCGTTAAAAATTTTGAATCGTCTTCTTGACTTTGTGGCGTATCAAATACTTTTTTATCGTTAATTAAATCTATTTCAACATCTTTTAAAGTAGCTGGTGTATATATATATTCATTGAGTGTGTCAAAAGTATTTCGGAAATCGGTAGTCGTCAATTCGACACCAAACTCGCTGTATTTCAAAGAGTTTCCGTAATTTCCACCATTTTGTCGAATCGGATTTATCTCATTTAATGTTGCCTCAGATAAAAAGGTGAAGGTACTCAGTTGACCGTAATTCGCGATTTTCTTTGAAGCTACATCGTAATTAGAAATATCGAAGGAAGAAGGTGATGAAAGTGTCGACGAATCATAAAAATTGATTCTGCTGCGCGAGTTAATATCCACCAAGGAAATATTTTCGTAATCCGGAATGGGGGAGACGATTTGTTCTTCGAAAATTTTAGAAGTAACGTCGATTAAATTGGGATCAGTCTGAAAAGCAATATCTGGATGCAGGAAGTCAGGATGGGACGGCGACACCGGATTTTTGGTAGGATTTTCATTTTCTTTAAGAACACGAGACTCAAGAGTAGAATATAAATAATTCATGTCGTGATCAAATAAATGGAGATTGCCTTTTTTACGATACGCTCTACCTACATCTTTCACATCGTGATGCATATGTGCCTTGAACGAGAGGTTTGCCGAAGTCGCGTTGTCCTTATCTTTTTCTAACAATTTATATCGCTTAGATATAATTATTCCATTTACACCTGTTCGAGAATTCTCTCGGACGTTTTTCAAAACGTACAGATTCTTAGAAATCGGTACTAGCAAATATCTTTTGTTAGAGCTATTTAATCCTTTAAAAGCAGAATTTTGTACGTCGACCGTAATTTCTGATTTCGGACTTGTGATTCTAGAAAGGATTAGATTTTTATTAGAAGCATTTAGATCAAATAATCTTCGCGAATTTGGATATCGCCTAGCGATAGGAAATATTGCTTTATCCACAGAGTGATCTAAATTCTCTAATTGCGATGGCGGCTTCTCAAACGCGAGCAATGGTCGATTAATTATCTTTGTTTCCATGATTGACGGATTCGTCGTAGAATCCATATTGATTACGGCAAGTGTTGATTTCGAGACTCGCCAGATCGGAAGTCTCACATTCAATGAGGTATCCTCTTCATTGATATCATTATTGCCCGTGTAATTATTCCAACGATTCACAATCTTGTTATTCGAATTTTTCACATGTTTCTTTCTTTTTCGCAGACTTCGCGTTAAGTTATTTAAAACTTTTTTGTTTTGCGGAAAGCCATCGATTTTATTTCCTAATGACTGTCTATTATGCTTAGTTATCATCTGGATTATTCCATTATCGATTTCAGATACTCTATTTCGCGATGCTGCACTTTTCTGTTTGAAGATATATCTGTTGTTGTTGCTTTCTATAAGCGTTGAAAAAAAGAGATGCTGAGAAGGCACGATAATATTAACAAAACGATTATTAGTTGTTTATTAAAATAAAAAAATAGCCTTTTCTATATGCATGAGCAATAGACTTAACAATAGTTTTTAAACATTTATATGTTGTAAAGCATCTTCACAAGTTATTTAATCCTCTCTCTCTCTCTCAATTACAATTATAAAAACTACATCTAAGTTCTAAAGCATCTTATTTGAAATATAGAATAAATAAATCTTTTTTACAACGATTGATAGAGGAAGATTCAGATTGTTTTACCTACAATTTCATAGTATCAATAAAAATTTTGTACAGAAATTTTTGCTTTAAATCCCGTAATTGTTGAGGGTTAATAATATGTTTAATTTTTACATATAAATGTAAAATGTGTACATAAAAAATATATAGTGTATATAAATATAAATTTATAAATATAAAAACTTAAGATTGTTACGTTTAATGAAAAAATGATTTGAGACGAATTTAAGTTTAAATAATTGTATGCATGTACTTTGCATCTTTTTGACGACATCATCACCAATCGCGATTCTTGCCACATAAATCGCAATGTAAAATACGATGAAAAGAATAATTCGCATAGCGTCATATTACGGGCATCCTTGGGGGCAGTTCTTCGCTCACGATTTACACGTACTGTCGCCGCTATTTTGCACGAATTTTCCATGGAGCATCACACAATGATTCATGAAGGTATACTGTCATGGAAAAGCAATGCATGTAGTGTTTGCTTCGACATGAAGTTCATAAAGTTCGTGCAGTTTGACAGGAGCAATATCAATAATTGACGAACGCAAACGTCACAAACGAGAGTGTAGAAGTAGTTTTACGTAGAATAGAATTTCCAATTGATTTTTTTATTATTGCACAATATACATACATATTTTATTGATATTCTGTTTAATCTACTCGCTATTAATTGTAGATATTATCATAGTGAATAATTAAATATTGTCATATATTGGATATTATAATTACACACATTAAATTTGACTAGGGATGCGCCAGAATCCGGAAAATATCCGGGCAATTTTTTACTATCCGGTCGAATATCCGGATATTATTAGTATCTAGTAATATATCTTGTTAAAATTTTATATTGATCGATATTCCAACAAACGAGAATGGATTGAAATGAATTGAAATGGATTCAGATTTTCAGAAATATTGATTCACGAATGTTAAAATGAATGCTTTTCATTTCTGCATTTTTATTCATTTATAGAAATTGCATGGAGCATATCTCTATGCCTTTCTAAAAATAATATTAGCTTTTTCTGTGCATACAAACACAATGGTGAATACTGTTCAATACTATTCAAAATTTTGAATAAGAAATGCAGTTTTTCAATGTAATTGCATCCAATTGAATCTAATCGAATCCAATTGAATCCAATTAAATCTAAAAAAAAGTATTCGCTATTTTTTTAAAATATGCATTCAAATAGAAAAAAATTTCAATCCATTCTAATCCATTCTCATTTGCCATCAAATGGAAAGCACCCATAAACGTATCATAAAATTTCCATACATATAATAAAATATTCTTATATATGCATGGAAAGTTTATGAAACATCCATTGCGAATAATCAATCATGTGCGCAATGATAACTTATATGTGATGACTAGAGTTCTCTCACTAAGAATTCAACGCAATTTTGTAATTTTCAGAGATTTTTGCTGAAGATGACTCGAATAACGTGAGTCCTCCGAATAAATTGAAGATATACACATATAAAATTATTACAACAACGCTTCACTCTCATATATATTTAGCCCATTCTTCATTATTATTTTAATTGTTGACATTTTCGAGAGTATATATAATTTTAAATTGTTATTTAAAGTTGTCTTTTTAATTCTCTAGTTGTCATTGTAATTCTCATGAACGTAAGTTTATGCAAACAGCTGCGAGAAATAGTGGTCACATATATTTAATTCAAAAGTTTAGTTTAATTAAATTCATTTTTCTTTCTATTAAATTTCCCTTCTCTTTACATATTAAAGTATATCAAGTTAACACATTTCATAAAATAAAAATTTGTCGATAAATAAAATAATGGATTCGTAGTGAACAAATTTTGAATTTTCAAAGCAAAATATTTTGTGATCACGTGATTTATAGACAACCAATCAATACATACATTGAAAAAATGACAGCAACCTAACCTAACCATTAAAATAATTTTCAAGTGTAGACGTGTTGTATGTTTGAGAATTTGTGATGAGAATTTCGCCTTATAGATAGATGATCGCCTTTTGCAATCATTTTCAACAAATTTATATTTACTCAATAACGTTTACTCATTTAATTTCTTGGATTTGTAGAAGGTTAAAGGGAAAAATTTGGCCGTGTGTCATTCTACAGAAATTTTATTGAAAAAAGAAGAAGGTTGACAGAAATTCAACTATATGACTTATTATGGATTTGTAGATCCGTATTGTTAATAAACTGTCATTTGGGACACGAATTATTGGAAAATGAATACGGAAATATTGAACGAGCATTTAGAGACTTTGGCCGGTCATGTGTTTGATAATGACAAGCTGGTAATTCTATTCAATCATTTATATATGTTCTGCATTGTGTTGTGTATATAAATATTACTATTCTACATTTTATATATATATATATATATATATATATATATATAACAAATGGTTAAGCAAAGAACTACAGGTCCATGTTAATATAGCAAAACAAATCTTATGGAAATTTTATCAAAAGTATCATAGCAGTAACAACATAGAATGCACATATTTATTAATAGGTCATTTAAAGGAAAAAGGAATGCATGTGGAGGTTGTCAGAGATTCTGATGTATCTAAGGCTAAAGAAAAATTTATTAAAATTATTTCAGAGCATGTTTACAGTGTCCACAAGCCAATCATGGATCTGCAACTACTTGCTACTGCTGATTCTGGTGATATAAAATATAGTGCGATAAAATTTGATGCCAAAATACGAAATGATGAAGAAATGCAAAAATTACGTTGGGGTACAGCTGCTAAACAAGTTACAATAGAAAATGTGTTAGATTTTAAGTCTGCAGATTCGACAAATTTGTGTATGACAGAAAAGAATACCACTAAAAAAATATCACCACAAAAAGAGAATTTAGTGAAAAAGGGAAGTTTGGATCATTTCTTTGGTAAGCTGATAATTCCTTCAAAATCTGTAGAAGTAACGTCATCCGAAAAGAAAGATGATAATGCCAGAAAAGAGTTTATTGAAGAAAAAGTAATTAGAGAAAACAAGAATTTACTTGAAAGAAAGTGGAATAGAAGCAAGGAAACGGATGAAATAGCTAAGAAACGGAAGAGAACTATTACACAGAATAATTCCAGCGATTCAGAGATACAAAATGGTGTAGAGATGAAAGAATTTCCTCAAACAGAGCCAGAAACTCTTGTAAAACCAAAAAGTCTTGTTTCAGAAAATAAGAAAGAAAAAGGAGAGACAAGGAGAAAAGAGAAGAAAGCAGAGACTAAAAAAGTAAAGAAAAAACAGTCTACGTTAATAAACTTTTTCAAAAAATGTTAGAATTGTTTCAAAATTATCTAAAAGTAAGAAATGTTCATTTGTTTTATTAAATAATTTAAATACAAGAAATACATTACTTATTAATAATATAATATGATGTGATGTTAACAAGTATCATATTAATAATCATAAATGATGTATAAAATTTCTAAGCTAGAATTTTTTCTCAATCTCAGCTTCTATTCCAATGATGTAAACCTAAGGAAATTTTTGCGTATTATTTTTATTTTTTTATTTATTTTACATATTATATAACATTTAGATAATAGTTAGATAGCGAATGAATGGTGTGAATAGAATTCTAGTTTAAAGAAATACTGTTTTAGAATAAGAGGATATCTTTAAAGTAGAGACATCTATTGTACTTAACAGTTGAAGCAAGTTTTAAGTTTAACATTTAAATTTATAATACAATAATTTTAATATTATATAATTCTTGGGCATAAAATAATGTGTTATATTTTGTAGATAACATAAAGAAGCTATTTTATATTTACATTTGTCTTTATTGTATACAGATAACATTCAATTTTTTTATTATATACATATAAATCAATATACGTCACATATTATTTTCTTAAAATGGCGTTTGCACCTTAAAAAAATAATTTTGCTGTCATATATATTCATTATTATCTATACATATAATAATCTTTTACATTTTATTTTTTTCTTAATTTTGTTTCTTTGTTCCTATTTGCCGAAAATTTAATATAACTAAAATGATCGTAATATCATGATGTAATTAATTTTATCATAGATTATGGGCCTGCATTCTTTAACTCTTAACAACTGTTTACAGAATAGGTCTTTAAAGCTACTTTCGATAGAGCCGCAGAGAATATCATTGTTTATTGTTCGATTAAATGACAAGGATGACATCTAGGAAACACCCAGATGAGAATCCGATGACAATTGTAGATATTTTATCGAAATAAAATAAGATAATAATTAATTTAATTTAACAACTGTTTACTCCTAACGTAAAAAAATTAAAGTAATTAAATAAGATTCAAGCTTTTAAAAATACATGCCTTGAAGTTTTGATTCATATTACCTTCCCTTTCCTTTCTTTTTTACACGTTATTGTTTCTTGACTTCTATAATTGTTATCTTAAGTGTTTGAAATTTTTGAAATTTGTAACTTGTCACTATATTATTATTATTATTATTATTATTATATATATAATTCAATAAACTTATCTGTTCATGATATAATATACAAAGTGTCCCGCGAGACTTTTGCAGATAGAGCGGAAAACTGAAAAGAAAAATATGTATGTATTTTGCAATTTTCACAATGGTTAACGAGATATTAATTACTATAAATTGCCGAATATTAGCCTTTAATAATTTTTTACTCAAATACTATTAACTTTACAGAAAAACAGCAAGAGACAAAAATTGCTTATTTTCTTCTCATAAAATTCTGAGAATTTTTTCAGAATTTTTTAATATTGTATTTTCTCATGTTGGTAAAAATAATAATTGCAATAAGAAAATTGATAGTATTTGAGTAAAAAATTATTGAAGATATCCGGCAATTTTTAGTAATTAATAGTAGTTAACTATTGCGAAAATTGCAAAATGGTAGAGAACTTTTCGACTCAGTTTAATTCGCTCTATCTACAAAAAAAAGCATTTAGCAAAAGTTTCGCGTATACATATATATATATTAGGTGTTGGAATTAATTCGTAGCGTTTTTTAATGAAAGAATGTTATTTATTTCACATGAGCATTAAAAAATACATTATAATGTAACAGTATTTGTTTCTAATCTTCTATTATATATTATATATATATATAAAATCAGTAAAAATAAAACAAACGATTATGATTTTATTATTGCCAAAATTTTAAACCAGTTTAAAGTAATGCACAAGCATTCGCATATCAAATCTCATCATAAAGTTAAGGTTATCATGAGATTTTGACAAGGAACAAAAGTTAGTATCACGTATATGTGTAAAAGCATAATACTTTATTATAAATATTCTATTGATTTTAAACCAGTAACTATATTTATTTATTTATAGGTGCTGTTAAATTATACAATGTCATCCTTTTCAGAATCTCTCGTATCCACTTTAGAGTATGCTTGATAAAAGAGATACTTGTCTCTTAAGTAGCAATAAAAAATCATTTTTATTATTTTAAACGATAAAGACAATTTGAAAGAAGGAACAAAATTTCTTAAACGTAGCAAAATGAAAGCACTACTTAAAATATTATATTCACTTTGTTGGAGCAATGCATACTTGATATTGGGTATATGCATGGGCCTAAGTTTTAGTCTGTTTTTGATACCAATTGACGTTGACAAACAGCATGATGTAGCGGAGTCTTTTGATCATTCCTTAAATACTTTAGAAGACATAGATCCCTATGAGCCGAGAATAAACACGGACAGTAAACCGCAACAGATACAAAAGGCAAGGAAAGCATTTGTGCGTCCTAGATATTACTCTACAGAACTTGGGATCAGAGAGAAGTTGTTTGTGGGAATTATAACAAGCCGCGAGCACTTGCACAGCAGGGATGTAGCGCTGAATAAGACGATCGCTCATATAGTAGATAAAATTCGCTACTTTATATCTATACCAGAAGGGACCAAACCAAATGTCTCTTTTCCTGGAATAGTGGGATTTACCGACACAAGGAGCATCCTGAAGCCTTTCCACGCCTTGAAATATATCGTTGATAATTATTTAGAAAGTTACGATTATTATTTTCTAACTAAAGATGTAAATTACATAAATGCCAGAAGTCTAGTGGAGTTTGTAAATAAAATAACTGTGAGCCAGAACATTCACATGGGCGTTCAAAGCGAAATTGATACCTACTGTTCTTTAGGTAAATGATATGGATTTATAATTTAATAAATTAGTCAATAGTTAACTAAAATTAAAATTATTTTCAGAATCCGGTATACTTTTGAGCAATTCCGTTATACGAGAAATGAAAAATAATCTGGATTGGTGCGTCAAGAATGCATATTCGGATTCAGACGACGTTAATTTTGGTCGTTGCATTTTGCATTCCACTTCTATGCCTTGTACTAATCACATAGAGGGACGAAACTTGACGTTTATACAATTGAAATCCATATTTAATTTTGAGAAGGACTTCGTCCAGTTGACTGAGCAAAATGAATTCCAGAATTCAGTCTCTATATATCCTGTCTATGATTATAAACTCATTTATAAATTTAACATGTATTTTGCCGCAGTAAGTCTTCTGAAATAATATAGCCTTAGCTATAAGTATAAAGCATCCCCAGTTTATTTTCTTGGAAGAGAAGGTAATACAAAAGGAATATTAACAAAATATTAAAATTGTTATACAAATAAATATTTTTTAATAAGACTTCAAATTTGTTTTCCGTTAAATTTATATAACGTTTATAATTTGTAGGAGTGCTTTATACTTTTGGCAAAGGGTGAACATAAATTAAAGCATTTTACAAAATATGATTTACATATCTAATATATATAGAATTTTAAAATATATGTAGCTTTATATCATAATATATTACTTTCAGATAAATTCCATTAAAGTTCACAAACAGATTAATGATATACGTAAGATAATATCCGCGACTGCACATTTAGGCCCGCCGAATCAACGTAATATATCATGGCCCATTGGAAATCAACCTGGAAATCGACCTCTAGGACGTTTTGACGTTTTGCGCTGGTCATACTTCAATATGTCTCATGTCTTCTTTGAAACTGATTTCATTAACATTCAAGAATTAAAGGGTGATACAAAAGCTGATATAGATAACGTAATAAACACAGCTGTGAACAATATTATAAGCAAATACGATAACAAACTAAGCTTCGTCAGACTGTTGAACGGCTACTTAAAATTCGACGCGTCCAGAGGAATGGATTATATACTCGACTTAGTATTTAACGAAGTAGCCACAAGTAAGGAAATAAGAAAGCGAATCGAAATCTGCAAGCCGCTAGGAAAAGTAGAAATTATACCTGTACCCTACGTGACTGAAAATACAAGGATTAATATAATTATCACTATCGATCTGAGTAAAAAGCAAGATGCGGTAAATTTTATCGAACACTACTCACAAAATTGTATGGAAAAGAAATGCAAAACCTATCTTATGGTGGTTAGTTTAAGCGCATTTAAAAATGTGCTGTTTTTCTGATATAATGTTATATAATAATTTGAATAAGTAATATTAAAATATTATACGTTTATATATTATTTTTGTAGGTCCTCTTATATAATTCAGATTCACCATCGAAAGGCAAAGGCGATGTCTACCTCGATGTAAAAACATACATATCAATGCTGAATGAGAAATACAAAAAGGATCAATCTAAAATTACTTGGCTTTCAATACGATTACCAGTTAACGTAACTTCTGTAGATTTGGACCCGATGTTGAAAATTGCCGTGACTGACTTATGCGCGAAAAAATTCTCATCAGAAAGTCTGATTCTTCTCGTGGAAACAGGAACGAAATTGAAAATAGATTATTTAAACAGAGTAAGTATGCCTACATCAATATTAATAACCAATATTAATAACATTATATAATTATTTCGAATACAGTTAATTCATTATTATTCATTACTATTCAGGTTCGAATGAATACCATTAATCGCTATCAAATATTCAGTCCGATCCCGTTCATTGAATATCATCCTGATATAATTTATGCGGACGAAGTAGTAACTCATGACGAAGTGGACGTCAATAGCAATTATGGCAAATATGACGAGCAAAATTATAACAATATCGCATTTTACATTAAAGATTATAACGCAAGTATGCATTGTGTCTTCAACTCATTTCATAAAGTCCGAATATTTTGATATGAATAAAATTTGACGTTTTCATTGAAACGTGTTTCAGTGCGGCAGACGGTCGAGGCGAACATTCCGTTAGTGCGATCGGATAAGGATATTGCTACTCTGCTAAAACTTTCTAAACACAGCCCGGTAACTTCTTTGTTTGAAATGTATGTGTCATTTAGCGATATGCATGTGTTTCGCGCGATAGAACCAACACTGAAGATAAAATACAAAGATGTCAACTGCGATGACGTTTCCAATGACAATATTTATAAAAATTGCCTTAAATTAAGGAACAATCACTTGGGTAAACGTAGTCAACTAGCTAGATTAATATTAGATTATCAGAGCTATCAAACATAAAGAAATGTAGATCGTAGTACGTAATCTTTAAAGAGAAATACTATTTATTGCAATATTTACGTTATTCAGGGTAAACGCCTTAGATCTTTTTAAAGCGAAAAGTTATTTACAATTATCTACGATCTAGGACAAAAATATTCAATACATCTGTTAGATATATTTTTTATATAGATTTATATATATATACATGTCAATTATGAGCATTTTATTTATTCATGTATTTTATTCTCAAAAAAAAATAAATATCCATAATTATTTATACAGTGTTAGTTTATGTTTCTTTTGAATGATAGAGTTAGGATTTCATTCTTTAGAATTGTAAAAAAATAATTGCACCTATTACAATTACGATACAACAGCGAAGTATATATAAAAATTTTAAGGAATCTGATAAGTTGTAAAATTGTCGATATATTATTATTAACAAAGAGATGTCACAGAAAAAAAATTCGAAAATTATACTTCCTTGGAACACTTTTTTTTTAAGTCTACCAACGTATCACTGTTAATCACTATCCGATTCTGATTCAGATAATTGCAGATCATCATTTAAGATATCGTCCGTTACGAACAATGTAGGTGAGGCAGTTGTACCATTCAAATTACCTAAAAAAAAAATAACATTTTTTAAATACAATTTTAAATTAAGAGTTAAATTGGAGATAATTTTAATAAATTCATTTAAAAAATGATAAAGAAAAATTATAATATATTTTTTATTCACCATTAATCCCTGTTGGCACTGAGATTACATTTTCTGTTTCGTAATCGCTACTTGAGCTATCAGAACTCGAACTGCTCGAACTGGAATCGCTCTCTAAGGTTGTCGATTTTGCAGTTGATATTGGAATTGACTGAGGAATTACGGTCTGCGTAGAGGAAGAGCCAGGTATCACTGACGCTGACAATGCAAAATCATCATTGTCGGATCCGATCATTGGCAGACTAGCCAAGGTCGGTTGTCCACTCGACGATTGCATAGGTGAAGAGCTGTTATTCAAATCAATAATATTTACAACATTCATTCATTTCATGATTAAATTTGGGAAGTATCCATACAATTTGACAAAACAGTTAGTCTGCTCGCCGAGTAATTGAGTTCTTATAAATCTAGTTGATCATACATTGTCTGCGTTCACTAGGGGTGCGTTCAAGAATTATGTTCAAATAACTCTGGAGATCGATCATGTTTTTGTACTAGACCGGAAATGTGAAAAATGAACATTTTTTTAATATACTGTGACTGTATTCCAAAATTTACTGTCAATACTGAAACTCTAGTATATACATATACATATATATAGAAAAATGTTCACTTTTTTGATAATGAATAATAAAATGGAATAAAGTTACAACGTGTGAGCATCTGAAACGAGAGAATACAACCCGAATTTTTCCTTCAACTTATTTAAAAAATTTACTTGACGATACATACTTATTGACAGATGTATTAGGTGGACTTGGTTTATCGTACGGCGATGTCCGTGGCGAACTCTGTTTGGGATGTAATTGCAGCGAAGGTTCTCTCTTCTTCCCACTAATAACTTTGGTCCTCCCGTTCGCTCTGCCATATGTGGGGCTCTTTTTAACTTCGACGGGCATGGAATTGTTATTGCTATTACGTTTGGGTTCCGCTCTACAAAAAACAGAAGTCATGAGATTTGATAGCGCATAAAATGCGATGCAACAAATAACGAATTGCGATAAACGTACCGTGTCTTCTTAACTTGAATATTCGCAGTTAATTTTTCTAATGTAATTTCTCCGGTAACCTTATCAAAAATTAGCACATACTCCTTGTTATAAGGTCTCTGAGAACCCTTAAACACAGTGTGAGGGGTGCCAGCTCCATCTAAATGTGGCACAGTGACCGTTATTGTATTGTCTGAACCTACATCGACTCGGGCCACCTTGGAATCGTCGACACTCGCGGGTTTGAAGTCGTCTGGAAAAATCGTACAATCAGATTCTGCGATCAGAAAGAAGAATAAAGATAAAAATTCAGATAGGATGAAAAATTAAATGTTAGGAGAAATACAGAATAGGGTTGGTGATATGCTTCGAAGGCTTAAATCGAGATATATTCATATTTTCATTTATAATATAAAACTATATTTATATTTATTATTTTTCTAAAAGCTAGCTTTTCAAATGTTTCAGCCAACAAACAATTTCTATGTGATATCTGCTGTCCAGATGTTCTATTAATGTTAATGATAGCAAGATACATTATAATTGAAAAGAACCTGTTGGATATGTGGATAAAAAGTAAAAATACAATTCTTTAGATTTAGATTTCAAACATAAAAGTATTTCAATATTGAAAGTACTTTATTTTTTAAATGATAGATAAAAAAGTATGTAATAACGTTATATATAATAACGTTTGACACAAATTAGTCAATGCTCAGAATTACAAATCTTAGGGTGTGTTTCATTTCATGCATAGATATGCATAATATATCATATATCCTTGTTTAACATTCAGAACAAGGATAAATGATGCATCATATGCATTATGCATGAAACGGAATGCACTCTTAGGCAACATAGATCTAATAATGCTAAACATAACAATCCGATTTATAAAGGAGAAATTTCAAAATTCTATTATATTGGAAGGATGATGCATACTTGAGATAATACATATTTTAATAACCTAGATAAAGATAAAAAGTCATTTATTCATCTAGATAATCACGAGGATAATTTTATATATATATAAATGACTGTTAAAATCTGATCATCAAATTATCATCATATTATTATATAATTTCAGATAGCAACTGACTATGTACTTGTCATTTTAATGTCAAAGATATAATACATTCTAGAATTTGTTTTTTTTTTTATAAATATATGTTACTAATGATTTAATGAACACAACACCTTGTAGCTAAATTTTTTTGTCATCTTGTATCTATTTTACTTTAAATACAAAAAGTGTATACTAATTTAACTATTAATAGAAAAGACTTATAAGGTTGATATTATATTTGTTGTACAAATTTTTTAAGTGTGTTAATTGGCTGCAGGACAGAGAAGTTCTCGGACCTCTCTATCCTATGATCAATTAATAGACTTGAAAAATTTGTCATACGACAAAAACGAACAAATGTAATATTGGCCTAAGACTATATACAATCCAGATAGCCAAACATGATATAGCATACTGTGTAAACTAATGCACTGCATATTATGTTGTTATATATTTGTTTGCTATACATTTGCTGACATCAAAATAAAACACATTATGAAATACAACATTACTGCTTATATATGTAATCAGTTGTCAAAATTTCTAGAGCAAACTGTGAACAATGATACATTATGTTGCTGCAATATGACAGCAACATGTTAGCAACGAATAATTAATTATTTCATCTTGAGCATCATGATGAAAACATGACAGCAACAGAACATATATAACGATTTCTATTGGTTGTTGCAAATGTCTTCTGCAAAGGCTATAAAGTGTTTTAATTGCAACTAGTTGCTAACAAAATGCTGACAATATGAAATGTTACACGTTTTCAAGTGGTGATCAATATTTATGCTGACATGTTGCCATTACTTTGTCATTACAAGAATTCGAGTTCCACTGAGTTCAACATGACAGACATGCTGTCTCATCTTGTCATGTTTGTCGAAATTGATTGTTACATGTCAGCAAACACACTGCATTTGGCTATCTGAGAAGATATAGATGGATGTGTAAGAAGAAAACCAATAAAGAAAACAAATCAAAGAAAATCAATTGTAAACAAAGTCGTTTCTTGATATGTAAGCTGAAGAATAGTCTGGATTGTAAGAATCAGATTCTGGGAATACTGGCATTCTCCTTGGCTGAGACTTTTGCTTTACTCCAAGGTGCTGTCTCTAGCTCAGGTTCTAACATCATTAAAGCAAAGGCTCGAAAGTGCTGCTGTTCTGCTTCTCTACCTCAAGAAATTGGATTTACTTACATTTTAGAGTATGAAATTTGGAACTATTGCTCGTGAAACTAGGCCCTAGCTTGAGCTCACGGACTTCGGGCCCCAAACCAAGTCGCTCGACCATGCTGACACCTTGCATTATCGAACTTTTTCTTCGTAACTTTTTCTTTTCTTTATTTTTAACAAATCGGGGATGACCGCATGTGGAGCACTGATATTATTCTCTTCCGTCTTACGTGGTTCTACGCGTTATTGTACAGCTATGTATTCTGGCGACTGCTGGAGATGACGAGATAAATATGGTACGAAATTTTCTTCCAGCGCCATTGGACTCTCTCTTGGTTCTCCGGAAGTGACGAACTAACGAATACTGACGAATGTAAGGTATGCGAGCCGAATTTAGCCGAATCATCAATCACAGACGTACGAACATTACGAACACTGGAAGTGAACACTAAAGTCTGCTGTATATGAAGCGATTTAATTATTAGACCTTGTGCACAATAGACGAAACCCTGGTGAAAATTTTTCTCATAATTTTTATACAAATTGGAACATTTTTCAGATCATACTCGGAAAGTTTACATCTTCTGTCAGAACTTCTCATATAAGTGAATTCTGAAATATTCTGAAATTTTTCATCCTATAATTTTTAAAAAATATTTTTAAATTTTTTAGATTTTGTAACATTTCATCAGAAATTATATTAGGTGTTGGAATTAATTCGTAGCGTTTTTTAATGAAAGAATGTTATTTATTTCACATGAGCATTAAAAAATACATTAATGAAAGTACTTTTAAAACTTATAAATACTTTGTAAAACGCTACGAATTAATTCCAACACCTAATACTTACAAAAAATTTTTAAAATCTTACGATTTCATTAATTAACAAATATGAAAAATTCTGAGAAAAGATGTAGATTTTCTGAGAAATGTTCCAATTCATATAAAAAATGTGAGGCAGTTATAAAATTATAGAGAAATTCTGAAAAATTATATAGAAATTCTAAAAAATTATATGAAAAATTCTGACAAAAATTTTCACCAAAGAATATTAGGAAAAGGAATAAATATCTATTAAATATTAGAAATATAAAATTTAGGAAATGAATATGAAAATGTAACAATAGATATATAAATAAAATATATTATATATGTATATGACATATGAATTGTATTATTTGTAGCCACTGCGTTTTGTATGTTTAATATTCCCATTTTTTCTAATATATTATATATTTACTATATTTCTAACATTCAAATTTGGAAAGTTTACTTGTAATGCCGTTATCATTATTATTATATTATTAATTTTTTTCGATAAGAATCTATCAAATAAATTTACATAGCCGCATAAATGGTATGCATAAGAAAATTATCCTTCGCATTTTATTATAAATACGTGCGTTTAAAAAAATAAAAGTGGATAAGTTTCTTTATGCATATATTTATGCAACTGAATAAATAAATTTGATTTATAATGATTTTATACCTCAAATTCCTGCAGTTTTGGACTAATAACTTTTAAACAATATACATAAGCGCTTTTTTAGTGCTTCGTGCTACTTGGGAACACTTGGTTGGCACTTCCAAATAAACTTTTCTGAATATTTATTATTGTTTTATTATTATAGTATATATATAAAATATTTGATTTATTTTTTAACGTTACTTCCTCATCAAATTTACAAATAGATATTGCAAAATACAATTTTATATAAAAATCAAGACAAAGAAAACAATAATTATAAATAACTTTTAAATCAATACAAGAAATGTGTTCAATTTTTACAAAGCTGTTTAAATGTAATACGAGTATACTATAATAATGAAACAATCTATGAAATTTATATATTTTTAGTATTGTTTTTAGACGTGATGCGTAATATAATAAATCAATATTATTAATAATAGTAGTAATAATAATACGATAATATATAATATTAATATGCTTATATACATATATATAAAATAAAATATTTATTGTCAATCCGACAACCAATAAGCGCGCCGAATTGCCTCGCTGTCCAAGTCATAGTTTCACAAAACCGTCAACGTGGGAAGCGTAGTTTGGCGGGTTTCGTTGCGTCTGACCGACCGCGCGACGCATCGGTGCGTGTCACTCGTGCTTACGTTCCATGGTCGTTTTGCACAGTTGTGTGCGTGCGTGCGTCGCGTTTGACCCGGCGGTACTCAGCAGTGTGCGGCGGTGCTTCAAGTGTTCGATTGCGCGTTATTCTCGCGCGTTAAATGCAGAATTTGTCACATAAAACTTACGTTCGCGACTATGGCGCAATTACGTTACACCCGTAACTTGTTCCTGCGCGGAATTTGCATTATATATCTGTTCGCGTTCCTCAGCTTCTACGTGCAGATTCCAGGTGAGGCACTGCACCTCTCGGCTGAGGCTACCAGCAACGCCGACCATACATCGGCTTTTTTTTCTTTCTGTATGCGTGGGATTTCTTCGTCTCCTCGAAGAATGTTTAGCGCTAAACACTTTGCGTTAAACATTCGAAGAACGCTTGATGCGGCTTGATGCCTTGTGCCACATAAAGAGAATGACAGTCGTCGATTAGCGACGCTTGTATACGGTACTCTGAAAGATAATAGTCCTTTGCTCGTACTATTCCGATATTTCGAGCGATTACGTCTTCTTCATTACGTTGCGTAACGGAATTTTAATGCCTACATTGTGAATTGCAATTATAATCCTGAGTGTTTAATTCAGGAATTTAAGGAACTATATGAAGTTTATTTTTTAAGACAGATTATATATTTTTTTTATTTCTGTATAAGAACTTTTTTTGCTTTCCAAAATTTCTAATATCTGTATATTTTACTTTAAATATAGAAAGTGTTCAAAATTAAAAAAATAGACTTTATGTAAATCCCATTTTTGATTTAGGATACGATATTGCAATGTTATTAATTAATAATATGTAAAACAGGATTATATGGCGACAATGGAATCCTACCAGCCAGGACACAATTGGATCTTAAAGCACGTGCAACATTATTGAATAAAATGAAACAAAAACCGACGTTCTTGTGGTTCGCGCCATATCTGGGGTTAAACGTTGATTATATGCTGGACGTGCTGTCTCTTCTTGGAGCTATTCTTTCTTTTGCAGGGTACATTTAAAAATTATAGCAAATTATAGTGCGATCACTTGCGTTACACTAGATTAATGCATATTAAAAGCTGCTATACCTATATGAAATTAGCAAAATTAAATGTAAAGATATATATATATATATATATATTTAAATAATTAAGTATATAATAATGTCACATTTTTAGAATGTATTATTTCATTGTATTAAAGTTGATTCTACTATCCCACTGCATTTTATAAAGTAGTCTTTTTAATATGCTCTAATTTAGTGTGATCAAATTCATTAGAGATTAATATCAAAAGAATATTTTCAATGCGCGTGGAAATATTTGTAAAATACAATCTGTCCAGAAGTAAGTTTTATAATTTATTAATTGTTGTATTTCAAATATAAATATTGTAATTGTCATTGTAAAGTTACAGCGGAGTTGTTAATGCCTAAAATAACATTTGATTGCAGATTCGTTTCGCAGAAATTTTGCATCGCGCCAGTATTTGCAGGACTGTGGTCTTTATATTATTCTTTGTACCAGATTGGTCAAACATTTATGTTGTTCCAATGGTGAGTTCCATGATTTTTCATATAAGTAAGCAATATTAAATGAAAATCGACTGAGAAATGTTCAACATAAATAAGCGAAAAAAGCATATTCAGCAAAGCAGGCTTAGTGAATAATAATATTTTTTGCAATAAATCTTTTAGAGTGTGTGAATTTTATAATTTCTGGTTCAAGCAAACTGCTTATTAATTATTTCAATCCTGCAACACAATCCTACTGGAATATTACAAATTAAATTGACAGGCAATTTAATATTACTGATGTTAATGAATATGTATATTCAAAACACTAAAGAATTTATTGCAAAAAATATACTTTAGTCAGAATTCGAACGAACACGATCTTTTTCGTTTGTTTGTGTTGAACCTTTTGATTGATTTTCTTAATATTGTATTTACATTGTACTGAAAAGAATATTTTTTTCAACATGTACTAGTTATTGCAATTAATATCATCACATCCCTTAGTGGTTGAATTGGTAAGATACTCATATGGAATGAGAGAACTACAGGTCTGAATCGCGACTAAAATGATATTTTTCACAATAAATTCAATGTGTTTTAAAGATGTTCATTGTCGTTAATAATATTAAATTGCTTGTCAATTTAATTTGTGATAATATACATACACTTCAATTTCAGTTTAGGACTGTGTTTCATAACCGACAAATAATCGGTGCGCAATTTGTTTGAGAGAGAACTGGAAATTCATATAAAATATTAGACATTAAACCGAATATAATCTTCTTTGTTTATTTGTGATAATTTATAGATTTCTCAGTCCTGCCAAATCTATAATATATGTTCGTGACTACACGTTCCTTTGTACTATAATTGAGAAGTAATTACCTATAAGATATACTACTAATGGTGTCTATTTAAAGAATTTATTGCGAAAATTATATTCACTAAGACCTGCTTTGCGTAACCATGGCCTTTTTCGCTTATTTGTGTTGAACATTTCTCGGTTCATTTTTATTTAATCTATTTAGTCTATCTTTGTGAAAATATAATAGAATAATAGTAATAATATAAATTATTATTACACGTGTTGAAAAAAGGTAGTACAAAACTTTAAGAATATAATACTTATGAAAACAAATCGAAAATAGCAGTATCTTAATAAGCAGTACTCACAATAAGTAGTGCTCCATAAGTAGTATATTTGTCCTTTATGAACTTCTGAGCTTGTTGATAAGTTTTCAATTCTCCGTTCAGTCAATGTTAGTTCATCCACAAACGTATTGTTGACAATGTCTGGTTTTGACACAAAAGTTGAATACTGTTGTCACATATACGAAATAAACGTGAAATCTTTGAATATATTCGATCTTCAAGATAAGAACAAACATTAGAAAACGTGCCGAATTGTGTGTTGAAATGAACGGAGGACACATTAAGTCTGCTGTAAATAAATTTATTTTTTGCTTTATAACTCGGAAATAAATAATTTTTGGAGTTCTGCTTAATTTTAAGACTTTTCGATTTGTTTTCATGAGTACTATATATTCCTAAAGTTTGATACCACTTTTTTTGAACATCCTATATAATTTAATTGCTTGATAATTAAATTTTGCATATATTTGGCTTGCAGGGATGTTCTATTACTAGAGGTTGGTTTTCTATGTATATTTGTGGCACCGTTGTGGTATGCTTACCGCGGGAATCCAAGCGATGACGTGACACTCTGGGCTGTGCGTTGGTTGCTTTTCCGTCTTTTGTTTTCTAGTGGAGTGGTAAAACTTACTGCAGGCTGTCCAGTCTGGTGGAAGTTAGATGGTAAAATTATTTTTACAGAATCTAAATGCGCATAAAAATAATGTGTATGTATGTATGTATGTATATATATATATACATATATATATACATATATACATATATATATACATACACACATTATAAAATTGGTGTTACATATTAATTTTTTTATTTTATAGCACTAAATATCCATTTCGAATCGCAATGTATACCAACTGCTCTGGCATGGTATGCACATCATTTGCCAACATGGTTGCTTCGATTATCAACCGTTGCTATAAACGTTATCGAGCTTGCTATACCATTTTTATTTTTCTTCCCAAACAGAAAAGTCAGAATAATAGCATTTTATTTGCAGGTATGTAAAATTATCTATAATAGGCTACAATAAGAATATCTAAAGAATTATGTCGGTTAATTAATTGATTTTTAATTTTTAAAAATTATGATACTTAATTGTTGTTCTAGGTGTTCCTACAAATCTGTACTATTGCTACTGGAAATTACAATTTCTTTAATTTCCTTATGATTTGTTTATGCATATCCTTACTGGATGATCAATTCTTTTACAAACGAAAATCTAAAAATAATAAATCTCGTATTAGAAATTATCTTTCTACACTAATAACTATATTGGTTTATGGAGGAGTAATGTACGGAACATATATTTACTACGGTCTTAAGATAATTGACAACTGGACCATTGAATCTAATATCAGTATGTATCACTATTTTATTGATAATTGATAATAATTAGTCCTAACAAATATTGGTTACAATCACACTTTTTTTTGTAGCATTTACACAGGAGGAATTTGGTTACATTCTCTATCACGTAGTGGCATTTTCGATATATATCGGTTTAGTATCCTTTGCATTAACGCTAGTTCCGATGATTATTTCTATATTTTATACAAAAGAAATGCATAAATTAACTGATAAATTGACAGCAACATTACTTGCACTTGTCTACGTCCTTTCTATAGCTTGTATTTTTGCTATAAGCATTGTAAGTATACCAGGTAGCTTTAAGCATGCTTAAATTTATAATTATTGAGAGTTCAATGCTATGACACATACGCAGCTTGTTATTATATACATATGAAGTACGAGGTAAATGCTCGTAGGTACCACATTCCTCTTTGTCTAAAACATTTAATTCGACAATGATTAATCATCTGACTCCACTGACTCGGTTACATTCAAAAGTGGATCATCTTCATATAACGAACAGGTATGGACTATTCAGTCGTATGACAGGAGTCGATGGCAGACCTGAAATTGTGATAGAGGGAAGCGACAATATTGAAGGACCCTGGAAGGAATACGAGTTTTTATACAAACCAGGAAATGTTAACAATTCATTACCATTTGTTGGTAAGATATCTTCATACATTGATACATCAAGACCGTTTCTTTTTATTTATTCTTTTAATACTTTTTATTTTAGTTTAATATTGTATAAACTTTAATATAAATAATTGTATAAAAGATGAAGAATTCTTAACAATATTTTTTTTTGCAGCACCTCATCAACCTCGTCTTGATTGGCAAATGTGGTTCGCTGCTTTAGGTACATATCAACAAAATCCATGGTTAATGTCACTAGCCTATCGTTTATTGACTGGACAGCCCGAGGTACTGGCTCTAATGAATACTGTTGAAAATCCATTCCGAGATAGACCACCGAAATATGTTAGAGCTAGTCTTTATCATTATCATTATACATCATGGAGCCAAACGTGAGTACATTCTCATATAAGAGTATATATGTGTGTGTGTGCATCTCTAATATTCACAATAAGACTTCGATCACACCTTAAATTTATAGACTCTAGTATAGTATTATATATAATTTAATCCTATTGTTCTTACACAGATCGAATACTCGTGCTTGGTGGACTAGAGAAAGAATAGGAGAGTATTTCCCAACATTCAGCCAAAATCACTCTCCACTTATTGAATTTTTAACAAAAACAATGAAAATTCTTCAAGAGAAGCCAAGTTTTAAGGTCACAAATGAACCACTCAAACTGATTTTGGACAATCTTAGATCTTTGGTCAGTAAAGTAGAACCGAGTCTAATATTATGGAGCGTTTTCACAGCCGGTTGCGCAATAATCATAACAGGTTACAGCAATTCAGTATCGAAAAAGAAATAATTATATTGAGCGATAATCTTTATAAAAACTTAATAAGTTACAAGGTGAATATTAACAAAATATAAAATGCAAGCTGTAAAATATGCATACATCAATGAGAATTGTTTGCAATGTAAACTTAGAGTCACAAGGTACTTTTTTGCATGTAAGATATACGTCTGCATTTCTTCCTTCTACCTAATAGGTCTTTGTTAGACAATATTAACTATTATGTCGTGTATAATAACAATGCATTAAATATAAATCTACTAAGATAATTACTCATAAGAAGAGAAGGAAAGGCATTTCATTTTCCATAAAGAATTTATGAAAAGATTTGATGTATCCGATAAATGAATATGTTCAAAGTATATTATATGTATATCCCATTTACATCGTTAATAATTTGTATTTTGTTGTGTCTACTTATTACAAAAAATATGTGATATAATTTGTAATATTCAATATATATATATATATATACATATATGTTGTATGTATATATATAAATCGGAGATCTCGTTTCATATGTTTTATGAATTTATTATATATTACACATCACACTCGTTAGCATTAATTTTGATGATTTTAAGAAAGATATTATGAAATACTTGTAATGAACAAAAGAAGATATAACCATTGATAAAAATAAGAAACGAGAAAAAAGATACTTTATTATAAAATATATTTTCTTATATAACTGCTCATTGCATTTTTTCTTATGTTTTTATAAATATATATCTCTCGATATTATTACGCTGCAATGATATTATAGACTGCAAAAAGGTTTCGATAAACGTAAATTCATTTAAAACTACTACTTTATCAGTAGCCACTCTTATGGCCTTCCTAAAATCTATAAATGTAATTTTATATCTTAGTTACAATTATACTAGATAAATATATATATTTGTAACATGCGCATGCATATGTTTTAGATTGTATACACGTACATATGTACTAAACTTTCCAGATCATTATTGTTAATTATCACAGTTATGTAATACATTATGAATTATTTTCAGATTATATTTGTAATAAATAAAAGCTAGTCTTTTTTTCTATGCCCATTTACTTTAATATAATATAAAATTACTTTAATATAAAAGGAAAAGCTAAAAAAATGTATCATGTTTGGAGATAAATAAAACTTTAATGCTTCCTACAAATATTTCGATACTGATTTGAATGACATCCAGAATTTTGCGTTATTTTCTAGTGATTTTATATTTTTTCTTAACTATTTTACAGCTACGTACTCTAGGAAGGTTTGTCAATGCAATGTCCAAGTTGAGTTGAGAATTGCTATCAGTTGGAACGTTTGAATTATTTTTTTTATTTAGTTCTAAAGGATTTATTTCTGTATTTTCATCTTCACTATCGTCTTCAAACTTTCTTTTTGTTGAAATAATTCGATGAGTCGGTTTATCTTTTAAAAATATTGCTTCTGGCCCTTGCACTTCCAGTATAGTGTTCGACAAACCTATTGGAAGTTCAAATAATTGCCGTAGGCGAACTCGCAGTAGCTGATATTCAGCGCTTTCCATTTCCATAAATTCAGAATTTGTCGCATTACGTTTTGATTTTAATTCATTTTCAATTGATGCCATCAATTCACATCGTAGATGAGATTCGTGTTGATAGTCGTACAATAATTTCCAAAGAAATAAATTCTTTATACCTATCAAAGTCGCTTGATTTGGCGGAATTATATTATCCATATTTACATCTTCAACGTCTTCTTTGACACTAGTAGTTTCCTTGTTAAACTTGTTTAATTTCGATTGTTCATAAGCTTCCAAACTTACCTCTGATTTATCAGCTTTCTTTGACTCATTTAATTCCACTTGTTCATAATCTTCCAAACTTATTTCTGAATTCACATTCAATCTATTGTGTTCTAATAAAGTCTCTTTTGACATCTGTGTTTTTTTAGTAAAACAAAAGATACATTTTATTGATTTATATAAATCTAAATTTTTTTGCTCTAAAAAATTGTGGTAGTCACTTGTTAAGAACTGACCAAATTTGTGAAACTGAATTTCTTCCTCAATATTAATAAAAGGAAATACGGAGGGAATTATAGAGAAATCTGCAGGTATATCAATAAGAAATTTTTCATTAATGGCTAAATTATAGTTTATAGTATTTTTTTGATTTTTAATTATTTTTCTGAGCCTTACATGTCCATCAAATGGAAGTGGTGGTATAAAAAAATCATCTTCATTAACTTGTGGGGCACAACCGAACATTCGTATACTATATCTTTCTATCAGTTCATTACTCTGTACATGTCTTACGTTTAAATATTCTTTTAAAGAAATTAAAAGTTGTTTCTCTTTATTATTCAACTGCACATAATTCAGAAAATCATCTGGAATATCAAGATTGGCGTTTAATAAATTTAATGTGTTGTATAATTTTTTAGTATCACGTATAAGCTGTTCAATGTTGTAAAGTTCTTCAGAATTATTAGATTTAATTGAAAGTGGAAAACAAAGAGCTTCATATAATCTTAATTGAATATCAAAAATATTTACAACAGGTTGCATCTCAAATATTGAATTTTTAATATGTCTTTTTAGTGTTTTATTGGATGATGATTTTTTATTAATAAAATTTCTTTTATTGGAAATTGTAAGAGGCAGTCTAGGTATAGTTTCAAGACTGACACCCTTTGCTATATATTTTAGTAATGCGTTATATCGGTGTCTTACTTGTGTTCTTGTCTTATCAGAAAAATACTTGGCTATTCTGGACCAATCGTTACTATATTGCAACTGTAGATTAATTAACATCATATCATCATTGAGTGTCCAAATATTGTATCGATTATAGATATTGGATACCACCGTATGGTAACGCTCTTGGAGTTGTACCGAAGTTCGATGTGACATTACGGTGGTTGAAATTTTACAAAAGTCCATGCCATACTTCTGCACCGCTTTCAGGAGAGTTAATGTTTCCTGACGACTGAATCTACCTTTTATCAAATGCGGTGCTTTCCTATACGTCCATCGTACGTAAATTTGTTGCTTGGTTCTGTGTCGAAAATGATTAGCAACATCGGACCAAGAAATATAGTCTCCGATCTTGATTGCGTTTATAATTTTTATAAGATGTTTGTCCTCCTGTCTGGTCCATGGTTGTCCAGCTAACGGTACTTTTTTGATAGTATTATATCTGATAAAACATTGATACGCGCTACGGTTTGTGCCTAATTTTTGCGCAATAGCATCCCAATCTTGACATTTATATTCTCTAATACATTTCAGCAGTTTCTTATCTTCTGCATTTGTCCATTCACTTTTCTTGAAAGCAGGATGCAGGTAAACATTCCACATAGCCCTGCATTCACCTGGTGAATGTTTATTGTCGAAATCCATAACAGAAATCTTGTGCCAATCGAATTCTCTCGCACCCAACGGCCCCACCATCTCATTAAAGTTTCTGGGAATCACTAATGTAGTTTTCTTAGTTTGATCATTAGATGTCGACTCATCAATTTCTTTGTTGAATCCTCCAGACAATACAGATTCGATAGCTTGATTGTTTATGGCACTTAAAAGCATTTCTCTGTCTTTTCCTGACCAACGGTTAGGCTTTTTCAAATTCAAAAGGAACACCTCACCGGCAGCTTCCTTTCGCTTAGTATCAATATTCTTGGGAGCACCGAAATAATCCTTGTCTTTGAAGTATGGTATACCAGCATTACTGATTGCCAATTTGAAATTTGAGCTCGACTCATCCGTGGATTTCTTCCACTTCTCGTCCAGTAGACTTATCTTCTGCTCACACTCTTCCAACAGAGCAGTCAATTTCTTCTTAGCTATCGTCAAGCCCGAAATCAATCTTGTATTAATCTCGTAAGCATTTAGAGAGTTTTCAATTTCTTGATTCACTTGGAGATAGTTGACACAGTCATCGTCGTTCTCAACGTCGACATTCGATGAAACGTCAGATTGTTGATTGTTGCTAACATGTTGCTGGGATTTTTTTTTCGCAGACCAAGCTAAAACTTCATCAAGAGCCTGAATATCAGCTTGGATATCCAAGAGATCCAACTCGTCCAATTCGCTCATAATGAATAAAAGTATATGACTTCTTGTCTGCCTCTTGTGTGAGTACTGTAGCAAATAAATCAAATTATACACAATGTATCTGATTAGAGATTTGATAAACGAAGGACAAACTTACATATCGACCGGTTCCTGCAACGAATGTGCAAAAGAAAGCTGGAGTTTTTAGGAAGTCTTCTCAAGCAATATTGAATAATAAAATAATAATACTGGATATGATATCATTATTAATCAAAATAAAATCTTATACTTGTATGGCGAACAAAGGCAAACAATTTTTTCCCACATTTCTCTTGCACTGTAAAATACAAATTGATTACAAACTTAATTATAAACTTAATTAACGATATAATGTCGCCTAATGATGAATTCTGTCATTCAGATTAGTGCATATTAAAGACTGCTTTGTATAAAATATCTAAATTGTTAAAGATATTTGCTAAAAAAATGCTTTATATTAAATATTTGCAGTGGCATAGTGTAATCAATTTTAATAATAATGCTTTTCAGCAAGAGACAAAAGGTATTTTGTTTACTGATCCTGTTTGTTACTTGACAAACATTATACTTTTCTTGACATTCAATAAGTGACAAAAACGGAACAACACTTGTGTTGACTGTTAATTTGTGTCATTAATGCTCGTTTCCATCAATGTAAATTAACTTTAATCTCGGTTCAACTTATTCTTCGTTTTTTTCTAGTTCAAAAGATTAGAAAAAGACGAAGAGTTGAATTAACGAGATTAAAGTTAATTTAGTTAGTGGAAATGGACATAAGGCTAGTTTCATAGTTAACTCAGTTAATTCTTCGAGGTTTAAGTTATTTCTCATCTCTTTCTAATGCTAAAATTGGAAAAAAATGAGAAATAAGTTGAATCTCGGTAACCGTGAATTGTGAAACTGAACCTAACAGTGAGTTACTAAGGGTTGTCACTAAGGGTTGTTCCACCTTTTGATAAACTTCAACTCTCTTACTTTTTTACTCTCTTATTCTCTTATTCTTATACATTAGATAAATTAATGTATACTTTATCTGAAGATGTAACAACTGGCTCTAGGGTATTCTCCATTTGACACAAATCGATACAAGTATTGGGTAAATGTTCAGAAGTACTACCCTACCAAAAATCGTAGTTTTTTTTCAGTAATTAACAAAACTAGTCATAAAAAACATACAATGTCTCAAGAAGGGACTTATTGTTCTTGTGGAGAAAAACTTGACAATTGCATATATTTTCTTATATAATTTAAATTATAGCAAAGAATAATTCATGATTCAAAATTTATGTCTTTTTTTATCTTTCTTATCATTTTCTTCACAAGAATCATCCTTTCTTAAAACATTGTGTACATGTCTTTTTATAAGTAGTTTTGATAATTACTGAAAAAAATTATGGTTTTTGACGAGGTAGTACTTCCGAATATTTATTAAGTATCGTTTTGTTTTTGTTATTCATAGAATACCAAGAAAGATAGGACATTTTTGTTAACTTCACCAAATGGGGACATCTATAGATATTACATTGAATTATTTCATCTTTGTTTAACCTCGGCAATAAGGACGAATATAACAATAAAGATTCATTATTATATTATGTCATCTGTGTCTCTTATTGGAAAACATTCATTATTCTTTGTTATTTATCAATGTTAAGCAAACATTAAATGGATACAAGTGCATTTCATTTCTATTATATATTGAATGCAAGAAGAATAAAATGACGTTTATGGATGCATTCCATTTATGATGATTTGTGACACAAGTTGATACAAATGTTCTTTCTTGACATTCCATAAATAACAAAAACAGAATGGTACTTGTGTCAACTCATGTCGACTGTCAATTGTTGTTTACTTCTATCCATATAGATTAATTTTAACTTACCTTTTTTCTTGTTCAGAAAAAAGGAAAAGATAAAAAGTAAATTAAATCAAGATTAAAATTAATTTATATTTTGGTAGAAATGGACATGTTTTGTCTAGAAAGATAGCCAAAGTAATTCATTATGTTACACTGTGTTATTCATGCTTCTTGTGGAAAAAGCATCCAGTATCGTCATTGGACATTTAAATAGTTTAAAATATTTATACGCCTTTGTACATTTAGTTTTGCTAATTTAATATATGTATAGTAATTTTTAGTACATACACTAATCTAGTGTAATGTAAGCAATCGCACAAATTTTATAGCAGAATATTATAATAGAATTTAATGAAGATCAAATTCTTACGTGTCTCGATTGAGCGAATGACATCAAGTTAGTCAAATAACGGTGTACCCAGAAAGTCCGAATGTCATGCGATAGCTGACAAAATGCAATGTACGATATTTATCAATCGAGATCTCAAAATCGCGTTGTTAGCGATCGCTTTCATCCACACTTGTCGACTCCAGTCTATTCCAATCTACTCGTAGTTAGAAGCACGAATCCCTTACTTCTGCTTGTATGCCCTTACTATTTTTCAACGAAAAATCATCTCTTTGAGGGCAAATATTTCACTGTTTTTTCGTAAATTCTGAATCGAACCGTTGCTGCCCATTCGTGATTATTCGCTCGCGGGCACTTGAGAGCACTTGCGAGGCTATAAGCAACTATATATTTGTTTGTGCGCACACAAACGGCGCAGGTATAGCAGACGTCGTTTGATTGTCAGTTGCGTTTTCACAGGTTTATTTTTTTTTATAACCAAACGAGGGTGTCCCTACTAATCTGCCTTTTAGTTAATTCGCTTATTACTGAATTAATTATTAAATATTGTAGCTTTACTGCTAATTTTATCCGCTTGCAATCAATTTCTCGATATTGATTGCAAGCGGATAAAATTACAATTGTATAATTGTAAATTAATAGCTAAATCGCCATTATATATGAAATTAACAAAGTTAAATGTAAAACAATATTAAGCAAGAAATTTCTAAAAGTAAATGTGATTACTTGTGCGATTAAATGTATAAAGGCATATAAATATTTTGAACAATTAAATATCTGCTCATATAGTACAGAATTTGCAACAATATCGCTGCAATAACGCTGCAATAATGCTGCAACATGCAAATTGCTGCAATGTTGCAGCATTGTTGCTACAACTTTTGTGCTGTAGCGATGATAATGATATTGTCACATTTATACAAACAGAGTATACAATATATTATTTCATCAAATTATAAAACAGTCAATTATACGAATTGTGAATAAAATGCTATAAAACAATGTCTTTAATGTCTATAAGAAAAACTACGTTCTGTTAATTGGCCTCGATCGTTGTAAAAGCAAAAAAAGGAAATAATCGTTTCAATTCTAATTCTCTCTCTCTCTCTCTCTCTCTCTCTCTCTCTCTCTCTCTCTCTCTTTCTCTAACGCAATAAATCTCATGAAACGTGAAGACGTTAATCATTGGGATCTGCGCTTCTGCGCCAGTGAGATCGAGACAAACGAAAAATATCGAGATGATCGAAACAGACGAACGAAGTAGACGATCGATCGAGAGTCGCCGGTTGTCGCGTCCGTTAATTCGTTGTGTTTCGTATTACGAACAGCTCGTTTTTTCACTCTACGGAAATTAAAGAGATGACATATTTTAGTACGCGTGTTCTGCATCATCAACGTACAAGACGATCAAGAGGGAAATATATTGAAGATTTAACTTTAGGGTTTGGAGACTCCGAATCAAAATTGAGCGAGCGTTCCGAGTGCCACGTTTTGCGTCGCAGCAACAGAACGTGAATCGTCAGTGTTGTTACGCCGTGTGGGTGCTGGGCGGCTCGAGTCACGTGGTCGATGACGTAACTCGCAGAAACGCCATGCCGGCGGTGTTTTCGACAGTCGAGCGGTTTTTCAGGCCGCGTATCGAGGAGAGCGATAAGTTTTTCTTTCGCGCGGAAGAAGCAGTTTTTTTAGGCTCTTTCTTGGGTTTCGAATCTCATCCGCGACGCCAGGACAAATTTTTATCTGGACGCGATCTTTTGTACTAATTATACTTAATCCTTAGCGCACCGTTGCACACGCACGAACGAACGGCGGAGAGAGGCGCCACGGTAGTGTTTCTATAATAATTATGATAATATAAGTTTTTGTGACTGAATAAATATAGTTCCCATAGTTATACAATAATATAATTCTCATAACAATAATTACTACAGGAACTGTAGAGCGTCACGGTAGCCGGCGGACGCGCCAGCCAACGGATAGTTTTGACATTCGGCCGGAAGTAGCGCACATATGTTTCCGACGTCGCCGCTGCGGAGGTGCGGCTGCGCAGTCGGATCGCGGTCCGAGTTATGTCGACTGATGTCGACCGAGGAACGGTGGTAGAGGAGTGATGTATAATACGTTAACGACTGTTATCATGACTACCTTCGTGACAATATCCTTCGGTTGAGGAGGTGCGCCGTGGTCAGTCTATACACAAGAAGGAGACCGTGTTGACGGGAAATCTACCTTATTGCGGCTGATTAGGGACAAATCTTTCGCTCTTTCCTTTCGTTCTCCCTCTCTCTCTCTCTCTCTCTCTCTCTCTCTCTCTCTCTCTCTCTCTCTCTCTCTCTCTTTTTCTCTATCTCTGGTAGTAGCGGCAGAGAAGGAGGAGAGGTCCAGCCGCGCGAGAGAGCACCGCACCAGATCGTCGTGCCGTCGTACCGTATCGTACCGTACCGTACCGTACCGTTCCGGGGGGCGGTGATCGGCGTGATCGGCCGAGCGGAGCGGAGCGGAGCGCAGCGGCAGCGCGAGGGGCCCTATGTCAAATCGACGTCGACGGCGAGGACGAAGCGCGCCAGCATGAAGAAACTATTCTCCAAGATCGACAACACGTCGAAGGAACCCAACAGTTACCTGGGGAAAGTGTTTGTCGTGGGCCGCCATACCGTCACCGTCGAAGAGGTCCTGGCAGAAGGTATGCTTCTGACATTTTATGACGACATTGACACTTCCTCTTCCCGCTCTTGTGTGTTCCTCTCTGTTTCAGCCTCCAGTGGAAGTGTACACTGGATCCCCTCTGTTCTATTTTGCACTGCAACCTTGCCCGCCCTCTCCGCCACGCCTGGCTGTCCCGCTTTTTTCTCTCTCTCTCTCTCTCTCTCTCTCTCTCTCTCTTTCTTTCTTTCTTTCTCTCTCCTCTCCTGGATTGTCCTCGGCGAGTGTGAGATAAGCGACGACGGTATACGATCTCCATCCGTATCCGGGGCGGGTGGTTGGTGGACGTCATTAAGCTCCCCATTATAGAAATTTAATACTGATT